CCCTAAAGAAATAAAAAAAATTTAATATAGCTATAAAGCTACTTAAAGGAAATTAGGCTTAGATTATATTTATATTTAATATATAAAAGGTAATTTACTAAGAGAAACTTCTAGATAGAGTATATAGCTATTAAATTTATTAAGAAATACTAATATATAAGAAAAGCTTAACCTAACTAAAAAAAGTTTTATAATAATATATATATTAGTATAATTAAGGCTAAGCTAATATATATATTAGTATAATTAAGGCTAAAAAGAAGGTTAGAAAGAAAGTTTAGGGTAATTAGAAGGTAATAGCAAAGTTGAGTTTATAGTTAATTATAAGGTTAGAAAATACACTTTGACTTTAATACAATAGGGTTTTATATTTCAGCCTAGGGCACCTCTCCTAACTACTTATCTAGACCATGGCCCCATCTACCCCTCTTTCAACACGAATAATCACTTGATCGACAGCTCTGGTACGGCATACGACTCCCATCATCAATTGTACAGATATCTTTCCATTGTTAGTATCCTTACAATATGAGTCTTTGCAAAACTTGTCGAAAAGCTTTGCCCAACATTCCGGCGTTAGGAGGCAACGAAGACTCGATCGCATTAATTTCCGAGAGGCCGTTAGAAGACGGGGGCTGGCACAAATCAGAATATCTTGATGATGACGACTGGTATTGGCAAGACCCCTTCCTTCTGCACAAATCTTGGGACTCCCTGGTCGTCTCACTGGACCATGACTGCCCTTTTTGTTGGACTCTTTGGCGGAACATCCGTTCCTCTCCGATTACATTTCCATCCAATGAGAGAATAACGGAATTTAAAGCCGAGATCACCGAGATTATTTACCAACACGACTTCGATGAGTATTCGGTTTATGTACGTTTGATGGGTCACGGGCTAGAGACAAAGGATTTGCTTCTCTATCTATCAAAGACAACAGAAACGTGCTACAGGGGTAAGTCTTTAAATAAGTCTTTAACAAGTTCTATTATTTATACTAAAGAAACGTTCAATTATTAGAGGCAGAAAGGGAGTTTCCCCTTCCCGTGCAACATACGCCTGCGTCAGCTGCTAATGTCGCAAACCGCTGGATCAAGACTTGCGAGGCGAACCACGAGAAGTGTCTGAAGGAAGCTGCTCCGCCAGAAGATGCAAAAATGCCAACCCGGCTGTTGGATCTGGGCGACGTCAATTCAAATACGTGGCATCTTTATCAGAATCCAGGACATGTTCCATATGCCGCGCTGTCTCACCGATGGTCCTCCGACACGCCTGAACTACATACCAGCAATTGTCAGACGTATTGTAATCCTCAACCGGATATCGCCCTGCCACAAAACTATCAGGATATTATTTCCATCGGCCGCGCTATACCCATCCGATATCTCTGGATTGATTCTCTCTGCATCATACAAGATGATAAGGGCTATGAATTTATCAGGGAGGCTCCATTGATGATGGATATTTACCAATATGCATTCCTTACGCTATCAATTTGCTGGGAGGCCCCCGGTTTTTCTATATTTCGCAGGTGTCGACCTCGCAACATACCTCGGCCTCCAGCGCTGCTAAATTACGATGACGGTAAATGTACATCGGTGTCAGGTGACTGGATGTTTGTAAGCGTGAGAGAACCTAGAGAATGGCAACTTCATGTGGGTGAATCATCCATCAATCAGCGGGCGTGGGTCTTACAGGAACAATGCCTCTCGAGACGGCTACTCTACCTCGGGAATGACCAATTGTATTAGGAATGTGACAGATGCGCTGAGAGTGAAGTCTCTCTTAACTATATTTCCCCGGGGTGGCGTCGTTCGTCCATTCTCGATCTTACTGGGCCTCTAAAATTCTCGGCCTGGGATCGGGCACTGCTACAGTATACTGGAAGCGATCTCACATTCGAGGACGACCGGCTCGTTGTCATAGCGGGCCTTGCTAAGTTAATCGCAAGTAAGACTGGCGGCACATATTTTGCTGGCATTTGGCTGGACTCTTGGATGCAAGACCTTTTATGGCGGCCAGTAACAAGAAAAGCGCGAAGCTCGAAACTTAAAGCACAGGGAATCACCATGGTGGCGCCGTCGTGGTCTTGGTTGGCATTTTCCGGATCGGTGGAATCAGGTCTCACTAGTTATGGACATGGGCCGAACATCTCAATCGCGAACCCTAACTCATTCTACCCGGATGAGTACCAGCTTTTGTCTCTATTAAGTCAAGCAGTAGTCCTTCCACCCGAAAGCGACCCGTTCACCTCCTTCGAACGAGCGATTTTGAAGATCCGATGCCTTCTTTTGCCAACAACATTCGCTGGCATTCCCCACAGCGACAAGCTATCATGGTTCTTCCGTCAAGACTGTGATGTCAAGTTGCCTTCAGAGGGACTAGATCGTTTCCGGCTTCAAGAATGTGATCAATTTGATAATATATATATCACATTTACTTTCCATTTCAGCAAGCCTTTAGACACGTCTTTACAATATTTCCTCGTCCCGCTATATGTCAGTCTGGAGCCAATGAACCAGTTTTCTCGGCCCCATGTTTGTGGACTCGTGCTGCAGAACGGTCGAAGCCAGGGTAACGAAGAATATACCAGGGTAGGAAGCTGGAAAGAGGATTATCGTTTCTCATCTCAGCTCAGCCCTAGTATTAGCAACACGATCATCAAACTCGGCGTTGGTAAGAAGTCGACCTTGCGTGATAGAAGCCTTACGAAAAATGAGCGTGTTTTTGACTCAGAGCTTCGCAAGTACGCAAAGCGTCATGTTGCCTCAAAAGTGCAGTTTCCTATGCCGGTTGTCAAAAAGGCGATGCAGTATCAGCCAGATACTGGAGAAGTGGAGAAGAAAGCCGGCGTTTCGGGACCCGAAGCCATTAAGCAGGAGGCAAATGAAGCAGATGAGGATGAAGGGCCCTTTTTCAGCGATAAGTGGATCAAGTGTTCGTTGCTACCGCATTTCACTACAGCAAAATGGGGCACGATCTCCTAGTATAGCTATCTTAGAAGTATGAATTCGTTCATTTGGTAAGCCAGATCACTATAACAATCTACCTCCAGCTGCTCTAGAACCAACTCTTAATGCTGCACTTCAGGTATCTCAAATCCTCTCCAAATGGCCTGACTTTTTATATTTTTGACGTTGAACCCATGGATATATGGTATGGGCACCAAGAGAAGTTAAGGAGCACCTAATCTATGCACAATTCTTTCTTATCACCACTACTTGAATGAAAGTAATTTTCTCTGTTCGCTGCAAAACTATCCCATGAATGCTCTGTAGTCTTTCCCGAACTAGATTGCATGTATTTGATCTCTCTCATCAACCTTCAGCCCGCTGAAATCCCATTATTTACCCTTGGATCAGCCGTTCCATCGGAAAGAGTTACCATAGCCTGATTTTCGGGGAAAAGTCTCCAGGTCCAGGGTACAGTAATCGCTACTATGGCTCCCATTATTTGCCCTCTTCCGGCAGTGGAGACTTTAACTAATTAGGAGATAAACCACAATGGCGGACTACGAAGTTGACTGGGAGAAGCATGTGTCCTCATTGATTATTCTCTTATTCAGTCAAAGCCTCAAAGGTCTCTATCGCCAAACACCCCGCCTTCGTCGTCACGGTGTAGCTGAACTAACAATAAGTCAGATGATCTTTTTGAAGGTCTAGACTCATGTGCAAGTCGAACCACCATGCCATATCACCTATCACCCCCAATAAAAGCAAGAGTTCCATACAGCTACAGAATATAGGAACTAATGGCTGACGCATCTCTTGGCCGTTAAGTGGGGTACACGGGCCGCGTGGTAGCGCCGCTTTGACACGGGACGGCTAGTTTAGCCAGCCACAATCCATAAAGTGAACAAATAGCGCGAGGATCCCCTGTCTCGCTTGATCAAAGAAGCTGAGAATGGCATTAGGGAAACCTTTTTGGACCAGCCTTTACGGCGCCTCCGTCTCGGAAACCAGGGGATAGAAGGTCTCGATCGAATTCCATGAAATCATTGGTGAGGCTGGCTGATGAAAAGCGATATTTAGCGTCAGTCAAGCTACTAGTGCTCGGGCAGGTTGAAGGGCTGAGACTTCGATCTTTACCAAACAAGCAGCCGACGTCAGGTAACTTAGCATTGTAGGCTCCAGTTCGGTCCGCTCCGTTATAGTTCGATCAGGCAGTGATGCCCCCGCATACGCAGTCATCAATCACCTTTAGTCTTTACATCAACCGGTACATTAGCCCTCTTATCGGGACGCTCTCGGTTTCTGTGCCGAGCAGGGTTCTACCCCGCGAACAGTGACGACTCAGTGCCATTTTCCGCAATTGTCACACACAAATTGTCAACAATAAAATTTCAGGATGGTTTATTGAAATACTCTGCTGAATATCCTGCTTTCAATTAATTCACAGGCTGAACCTGTTTCCGCTTGCCTGGGCTGAGACTTTCCTATATCTGAACCGCGTCTTTCAAGCGCATCAGCCAGCCACAGACAGCCGTATATTGAAAGCTAGCCCACCTGGCTAATCATAGTTTGAACTATTAATATTAGTTGCATCAAGAACCTTTGAGTCCAATCAGATACCACAAGACAAATCATCAGGCAGCTGAGACACAATAGTTCCGATTCCTATTATCTGTCTAGGCGTGAACACTGCGATATAATCGGAGTGTTATTAAAATCTTAGCGCTTGAGTAGATGTGTATATAAGATGGATGTCCTCATGCATGGAATTTTCTCTCCAGACGATATCGATCACTTCCTTTATCTACAAAGCCCCTCATCCAACACCACGTACACAGTAGATCAATATGACTACATTCACCAATGTCAATCAGTCCGTAGCACTAAACAACAATGTTGCTGGTCTGTTTCTTATTTTCAACCCGCCCCCATATGGTAATCCCGGCCAAACAAATGGGGTGAATACTGGTATTTTTCCTGGTGTCTTGTGCCTTCCGGATATAAATCCGTATTTGGGGGCAGCCGGCAACATCGCCAACGTTGGAGTGATTTGGAGGGGTCCTTTCAATGGTAAGCCAGCCGTCCATCCCTATCTTCCATCTAGCAGTCATTTAACTTCTGTTCAGGCCAGGTCTCCCTACAGATTCTAAACAATGGAACTGAGGGGGCTGGTGAACCAAGTCAAACTGAAACCTTCATGGTTGGCAAGTGGTCGGATCTAGATATTGGAGCCCTCGAAGAAGCTGCATCTTCGATCCGTAAGACACTAAATGGCCCCGACGGCGTATCTGATGAGGTATGTCAAATAAGACTTGGGAATTATAGCAGCACGCTTACTTGTTTATAGATTCGCGATGCACTCGCTAAGGCTCTTGACGCAATTGAAACTGAATTGCAGAAGAAGTTGAGTGGATAAGGGCTACGACTTGAATTATTGTTGCAAGGGAGTGAGACATAATTTAGGCCCTGGAACCATGAAATCTTCGATCGAGTGACTTAGATCTATTCGGTGGGATATTGAACTTGCCGACCCTGTAAAGCGGAGAAGGCTGCGGGATACAAGGGTATAATTATTATATAATAGTCAAAGTCAATAACATCTGAGCGAGATATATCAAGCTAGCACACCTTAGAATAGCCTGGTTTTCTTAGAGGTTTAAGCCTGAACTTGTAACAGTAAGTAGTTATAAAGTACCTTATTTATGTAAGAATCGCAGGCATTGGTGATTTATATAGTATGGCATTGTTATTAATAAATATTTGCCGAGGGAAGTCGAATAATTAAGTGGAGCCCAGCGAAAGGTCGTCACAAACATCGATGACGTGAGCTGTACCGTTAGACCGGTTATTTGCAGTGTCTCAACGTCATCAGACATTCATTCGCGAACACTGATGCTTGCATTTGCAGAATATTACGTGCTTGATATCTTCCATTTAAACTTATACCTAGCCCTTTCTATCGTTAAAAACTTACAGTGTTAAACAATTGTACTCTGAACTTTATTTATCTCGTATCTTGACCAGGGCACTGCCTTGACTTTTCAGCGTAACCATGGCTACTCGTGAGTTGGAGCATTCGACTATAGGCCAGGTAGACAAAAACATTTGCTGACTTATTTGAAGACCACGCGAAGAATGAAGTTCTCAAGGCCGCTGCCTTGTTTGATGTATCGCACATCACCGCTGTAGTAACAGGCGGCGCAACCGGCATTGGTCTGATGATCACCCAAGCTCTACAATCCAACGGCGCCAAAGTCTACATCACAGGCCGCCGGAAAGAGGTTCTGGAGCAAACCCAGAAGACGTACGGCACAGGTCCTGGGAGCATTCATGTCCTCCCTGGCGATGTCAGTGAGAAGGACGAGGCTATCCGTCTTGCGGAGGAGGTTAGCAAGAAGGAGCCAAACGGGATCCACCTACTCGTTAACAACGCTGGTATTGCAGAGGATGACAACACCAAGTTCTGTGAGTCGATCGGCGCTTCACACCGGATCTGGTGCTAACACTAACCTATTTTAGCCTCGGTTGGCGAACCAGACACAAGCGACGCTAAGGCTCTTTCGGAGCACTTTCTCAAGACGGAGCCAGAGCAATGGGCCAATACGCTGAAGACAAACGTAACGGGACCTTACTACATGTCCATGGCATTCCTCCCACTACTCGCAAAAGGTTGTGAGACTACGCCTGGCTATTCTTCCCAGATTGTCAATGTCTCCTCCATCTCGGGAGCCATGAAAGGTTCCAGCATGGGACAGCCAGCCTATGCCACCTCCAAAGCTGCCCTTACCCACCTCAGCCGCATGATAGCTACTCTCACCAAGGACATCAAAGTGCGAGTTAATGTTATCGCGCCAGGACTGTTTCCCAGTGAGATGACTACTGGAGAGTCTGATGAGGGCAACAAGAGCAATATTGACAAGAAGATGACTAACCCAGCAAGACGACCTGGTCATGATACTGATATGGCTGCGACTATTCTGTTCCTTGCTGGAAAGGGTGGCTTGTTTTACAACGGCCAGATTGTTTATCCAGACGGAGGTAAGTCTCTCTCAATTGGCTTATTTACTCTCGCATTGACCTTTTCTTAGGTTCCACACTTATTAACCCAGCTATCGCGAACTAAAATTGTTAAAGCTGAGGCAGCGGAATTGGATAGGCATCACAACATGGCGCATGGAGTTGACAATTAACCATAAGTTAAGAACTCTTTGTTTAGTCTAACTATAACCTCTACCAATATGAAGCCACATTATATCAACCACTTTAAACCTGCTCATTCTCCTCAGCGATGGCTCGGCTCTTCTCAGCAGTAAGATCAGCACCCTCGGCGTTGCGTCGGAACTCCTCCTCCTGCAGTGTCAACTCCTCAGACAGTTGGCTATGGGCCTTCCACACGGGCTTGATCTCAAAGAGACGATCCATGGTGTCGAGAGGCAGACCCTTGGTCTCAGGGATGAAGAAGAAGACGAAGATGGAAGACATGATCATAAGCGACGCGAAGAAGAAGTAGACGCCGTAGCCCATCTTGAGGAACATCTGGGGAGTAAAGCGGGAGACGATGAAGTTCCAGAACCAGTTGTTGGCAGCAGCAGAAGCTTGACCGAGTGATCTACAGCATGTTAGTAATGTGTCTTCATGGAAATATGATGGAAGGAACGTACCTGGAGTTCTCGTTGAACATCTCAGAGTTGAGAACCCAGGGAATGGGGTTCCATGTGGGCGAGTAGAAGGCAGTCCAAAGATAGAAGAAGAAGACGGCAGCAATACCACCACTCGTCATCTTAGGGGCCTCGCCTCCATGGGCAGTAGCAGCAGCAACCTTGGCAGCGGGGTCGGCAATCTTAATATAGGCACCGATGAACCACATGCAGAGGGAACCACCAACTGAACCGATGATAAGAAGCTTTCTGCGTCCAACAGTCTCAATCAGGAACAGGATGAAGATAATAGTGATAGCGGTTTTGACGACACCAAAGATACCGGTGGTCAAGAAAGAGGTGTTGGTGCCCTGGATACCGATGCTCTTGAAGACAGTAGGGCTGTAATAGTTGATAGCGTTGATGCCGGAGCCGTTCTGCCAGAGGAACATCATGCCGCCGAGGAAGAAACGCCACTGGACCTTGCGGCTCTTGAGCGCACCAAAGGGTTTCCAGAAACCAGGGCCGACTTCCTTGTTGTAGCGCTCGAGTTCCTGGTCGATGTAGCTGACCTCTTCAACGAGATAGAGATCATTGGCGGGGAGCTGTCTCAACCAGCACAGGTTCTTCATGGCCTCCTCGCGACGACCCTTGGAGAACAGCCAACGAGGCGACTCCTTGATCCAGAAGGAACCGAAGAGCAGCATACCGGCGGGAATGAGCTGGACGGCAAAGGGAATGATCCATTGCTTGTGGCTAGGAGCCATGGTCTCAGCAAGTCCATAGTTGATCCAGAAGCCAACAAGGCCGCCAATCTGCCAGCCAAGCTCGTAGATACCAACGAGACGACCACGAATAGCAGGAGGAGACAGCTCAGAGCAGTAGATAGGAACCATGTTCGAACAAGCGCCAACACCAACACCAGCGAGAACACGGCCGCCAATGATAAGTCCCAAGCCACGCTCAGCATTAGCGCCGAGCATCAGACCCGCGCCGAGCATGAAAACAAAGCTGAACGTAATAAGGGAGTATCGTCGACCGATGAAATACGATGTGATGTATGCGAACAAACTGCCGAAGAAAGCACCGGCTTGATAGACGGAGACGATGTTGGACTTGAGAAGAGCGAGGTCATTGGGTTCGTACGAGGCAAAGTCGAATTCCTTAGTGAAGCTCGGCAGCGCGATTGTCGTGCCGATGAAGGCAGAGTCGTAGCCGATCATGCATGATGCGAACGACGCGATGGCAGCGGAGGCGTACACGCGCCAGTTGTAAACGGCCTTGGGAGTCGGCCTGTCCTCATTGACGGCGAAGATGTTGTTGACGGAGAGACCCATGATGAAAGATTGTCAGCCAGCACGAGAGATTGTGTTGTCTGTGGAGGAGATGAAGATCTGGGGATCGAAATTTTCTAAGTATGGGGAAGAGAACGGCGCTTTTAATATGCGTCTGGTCCAATGGCCACGAGCCAATTACAGCGCCGACTTCGCTTGAAAATTTATCCCATCCCTGGTCGTAGTCTTGGACTGGCGCGTCTTAGCGCGTGCACCGAGTTGTGCGGAGAAGGGCTCGTGGTAGGACTAGAAAGGTCGAGATTCAGAAAACCCCGCATGCGCTGGGGTAGCGCCAAGGGAGATTTTTCGCTCTAACCGGAACTCGGGAGCATGAGTAGCCTAGATGGCTAAGAGTTTACCCCCCTGCGATGCGCTTAATTTCCGTATTCAGTCTTGGAGGATTGGAAGCTGTTCGTTTGCCTACATTGGGAAGTTCTGGGGTTTGCAACCAGATTCTGGGGACCCCGCATGGAATTAAACTAGTGGGGTAAGTAATCATCCCCACGTGTCTGCTGATATAAAGGATTCGTCGTAAGCTTGGGGGTAAGCGTTGATCCCTCTATCCAATTCACGCGTTGGATAAGTGCCAGCAGCCAAGTGCCAAGTGTTCATCAGTTTAATGTGATGCGTAAATACTCACACCTTCAGCAGTTGCTTGTATTACCTCGGATGAATAGGTGTCTGATGGAATTGACCCAAATGTGCAGGCGACTGCAAGTTCATGGTGGAGCTGGCCAACTGCAACGAGGCCCATATCCGCCACGCGACCCGAAGATCTTATCCAGGAAGCAGAATGACAGTTGACAGCGATGGATCTCAGAACAAGGACCCTGTATCGGATGGCGACTGTGGAGAAAAGGGAAAGGATCTGGTGAGGTCAGGGGGGCTCGGTAGATCGAACCGACCGCGTTCCTTAACAGGTACATTGCAGCGTAGGCCATGCTTGTTTACCAATGCAGACGGCAGTGACCTACAATGTCTAGATCCCTTCCCCAGAGTTTATCCCCAGGCGCTAATCTTCCCCACCGGCTTTCGACTTGTGATCAGTTTTGGTGGAATTGGGGAAATTGCCCCAGGTTGATTGGCTTACGAGCCGAAGTGCGAGCTAGCCAATGTGACGGGCTCAGGAAACGTAAAGGGGATAAAGAAATAAGAGAAATCTAGTGGCAGGGACAGTAAGCGCTCCTAAGATTGATGTGACGTAGCTGATGTTGGGCTTGGCGAAATATCGTGAAGCAGATTTGGACAAATGAAGCCAATCATGTGGTTGAATGATGTTGCAGAAATTGGGCTCGCTGCGGCACGCCAGTGAGCCGACTCGCGAAATCGCTTCTAAAACTGCTACATCTATACTCATACGCTGAAGATTTATCGGAAGATCTGTGAATGATTCACACATACGGAGAGAGGCCATATGAGTTTTGTGAGCGAGATACTGTAGGGTAGGTAAGCAGGATGAGGGACTTCCATGTCTAGACTTGGTGGGACCCACAAAGGTTTGGTGTTTTTTACTCCACCTACAAGAGGGTTAATCATAGAACGAGATAGGCACCTCACACAGGTTAATAAAGAATCTAAAAGAGTGATATAAAGTATTTGTATAAATAGTATTCTATATATAATAGAGAATATAGCGATCTTGCGCCTATATTTTCTTTAGAGCTTGCTATCAAGAACAAAGTTTGTAACGAACTCTGGGTTGCATGGCTGCGCTATCTTATTACGTTAACCGGTATATCGTAGCGAAAACAGGCCCCGCTCAATAGAGCTAACTAAAATGTTGCCACTCTGGAAGTAAGGGTAGACAGACCAAGCACCATAGAACTGCGCTTCACCACCAACAGCATCATCCTCAGGGTGGACATCGAAGAAGCCGATTTCCTCGAACAGCGCGCCAGTGTCATCCTGAGCAATTGAAGACACATTTACCATGCGCAGACCAGATCCATAGTTTGCCTGGTATGACACGCCGCCAACGACGTACTGGTTGTGATCGATGGAGCGAACAGGGCTCTTGTATACACCACGGAAGACAGGATACTCAAGATCCTGGATGTCGACAATGTATGTGGTGGTGTGCTGGTCAGCTGCAGGACCAGTCTTTTCTTGCTCATCCAGCTCGTCGTCGAGGAGGAGATACTTGTGATCTTCCGTCAACCAGCCCTGGTGGGTATATGTTGCGCCGTTGTATGTAGTGCGCGACAGCTGGCGCGGCATAGTACGGCGAGAAATGTCAACGATAGTGAGCGCGTCTTCATTATAGTTGAAGCAAATCTCACGACCCTGGAATGCCTTTTGAGGACCACGGTAGATAACGCACTGCGCGTCGTGAACGTAGCCATCTGAAGCAACACAGCCAGCATCCTGGGGACGCTTTGGGTTAGACACGTCGATCATCCACAGGCCAGCGCGACACTTGAGATCGTAGGCTGTACCGACGGCGGCAATAAGCGCGGTTTCCTCGTTGGCGACGATGTTGTGGCTGTTGCCGAAACCACTGAAGTGTGCGGCCAAGTCACTCCTGATGCTGAAGGTAGGAGGGTTTGCCTTGTCGGTGTTGAGGAGCTTGGTGAGGTCGAAGATCTGGAGACCGTGGCCAGCGGCCTCAGAGCCGATGTAGGCGTAGTTGCCGATGACCTTGATGTCCCGCCATGAAGAAGCGACGGTCTGGGTTGGGAGGCGTCCGACGTAGGTTAGGCTACCGTCGGGATGGACCTCTGCAAAGGCTGTACCGTCTGATTGTCCAAGAAGGGCAAACTCGCGGCCACTAGAGGCATGTGTCCAGCCTAAGGGATCAGTTAGCAAAACGAAGTGTCATAAAATAAGGCTAGCGATGGAACATACCCCAGACATCATTGCCGACGCGTGTTCGGCTGCCCATATCCTGGTGGCGCAAGAAACCCAAGAGGTCAATCTTGTTACAAGAGTAGCCTCCCGCCTTGCCGTCAGAGCAAGGCGTGCCAGAGCTGAGGACCTTGTAGCGATCTTTGTCAAAGACACCAGCCGCAGCCTCACTCTCGTGAAGAGCCATCTTGCGCTGCTTAAGCTCTCCCATACCAATAGCATTAGGCGCACTCTTGGCACGGAGGTAATCCTCATTGTACTTGGCCGTGTTGATCCTCTGGGTCTGTGCGACGGCAGAGCCCGCGAGGGTGGCTAGGAGGAGGGAGGTGATGCTGGCCTTCATGTTGACGGGCTGGGAGGTTTCAAAGAGATGGTGAGTGAGAAACTACAGAGCGAATATCACAAGAATTGAGGGAGCCTTTATACTTATTGATGAGGGTATGGGGATTGGGATTGGGAAACTATCGTAGATCATTCCCCGGATTGGAAGCTAGTTCTTTTGTTCTTGGAAGCTGGTCCTTTTGTGCTTGGCAGCTTATTCAATCGAAGAAGATTGCGATAAGGTCCGGGCCAAGTCAACACTATGGATACCAATACGACCCTGAATATTCGGAGTGACGATTAGAACCAAACATGCAGCATCGCTGACCACTGAGAACCCCTGGAACGATGTATATCGTATCTATTTAGAGTTAGAGACCATGGCAAAGGTTCCCCAGAAATATCGGGCCAAGGATCAAGATGAACAGGCACATAGATAGCCTACGCATAGATAATCTTCAAGACCACCAGTCATATCTCGTGTTTTTCTAAGCGACTCGAGGCCAAGACTCCGCCAAGCCTTGGTGCCGATGAACTACCAGATTCATCTTAAGCTTAATATAAATATCTCACGGGTACATCACACGACCCCACCACGACCTTTCTGAGATGCCTATTTGGGATAAAGGCCCGCTTCTGGCCATCTAACCCGGAACTTTTACCAAGACAAAAGGGCGGTCCTGGTGTTGTTCTTCCCGGGAGCTCTTTGAAGAGTACAAAGTTTACATGATCTTCCCTCCTACAATACAAAGGGACAATATGTGGGTGAGAAATGTTGACATGTATGCAATAAATAAGGTAGAGAAAATACAATATTACTAAAGCCTCTCACTAATTGACTTCCTAACAAACTGAAACCAAGGCTCAATTCACAATAATCAACCCATCTTGAGGGTTATACCGCGTTATTTTACCAGTTGAACGGTTGTCGAAGACCTCAGATCCTTCGAGCTGAACCCAACACTGAGCTTTATGCCACCCTTCGGTACCATCCAGTCCTGAATAGTAACATCCCAATAACTCACATCCCGACGCTTTAGCGCGAATGACACTTTCTTAGCCTCCCCAGGCACAAGATAGACCTTCTCGAACCCACGCAGCATCCGTACTGGGCTATTGGCTGGTATATTGTTCTTGGGCAAAGAAGCATACAGCTGGATGACTGTAGCGCCTGCAACCCGGCCAGTGTTGGATACCTCGACGTGGCACTTGATGACGGTTTCCCAGAGGTGAGGGTTACCGCCTAGGGCGAGTGTAGCGTTGGAGGGGGATGCGCGGACGGAGATCTTGTTTGCTGAGGAGACGACGAGGTTGGAGGATAGTTCAAAGGTGGTGTAGCTGAGACCGTAGCCAAATTCATAGAGAGGCTCTAGGCCCTTGTTGTCGAAGTGTCGATAGTCAATGAACAGGCCCTCACTAAAGTCACTTTGCCAATTCGAAGCGTCTTCAGCTGCGGAGCCAGTGATGTTGGTGATCTTTCCGTTGTAGTCCTCCTCTTTCTTCGCAATGGTATATGGGAGTTTGCCAGAGGGATTGACCTTTCCGGTCAAGACGTCCAGGATAGAATTGCCCGATTCCTGGCCCGGGTAATGCGCAGCGACAATAGCGCTAACATTAGGGTTCGTCGCCCACGGCATCACGTCCGGCCCTCCAGAGTGAGTGACTACGACGGTGCGGCGAGGGCAGCGTGATGCAATACTATTGACGACTTGGACTGAGTTGTCATCTGCCACAAGAGTCTTACGATCAAAGCCCTCGGTGGCGAAAGATTTGAGGAAGACGATGCAAACCTCTGGCCAAGGGTACAGACCAGGCATAATGCTGAGAATAGCAGTATTGTTGGTGACGTACTGGAGCCGCTTGCCGTTGTCTTTCGCGTAAGACTTGAACGCGTCCAAGGGACTGATAACGTAGCTTGGTCGACCACTTCCTGAACCGCCACCGGAGATAAGAGTACCGATGTCGATGCCAGCGTGGTCGCTCAAGAGGGTACCGACGGAGGGATCAGCAGCATCGTTACTAAAGAGACCGATGTTGGTGAGGGACTTGTTGAGAGGAAGAATGGAATCTTGATTCTTGAGCAAGACTGTTCCGGCCGCGGCGATCTCACGGATGAGCGCTGAATGGTTGCCGCGGACATCGCGGCCAACTGGAGAAGGGCCTGGATAAGGATACCCGAAGCCGTTGTAGACGAGAGGCCGAGACGATGGGTCCACAGATGGGTAGTCTTTGTCTTGACCGAGATAGAAGTAAGGCGTCAAGATGCGGCGCACCATTCCATCGAGATCCGACTCTGAGAGTGTCTTGTTCTTGACACACGCAACGAGATTGTCGCCCCAGTACGTCTCATCGGGGGAAAGTGGATTTATAGGTCCGGGCTGGTTCATATCAAGCCCTGCCTTGACGGGACCAAGTCCAGGCGGCGTGGCCAGAAAGTCCGACATGATATAACCCTCAAAACCAAGCTCTTTCTTCAAGAGGTTATTGATCAGGTACTTGTTCTCGCAGCTATAAGTCTCGTTGACCCGGTTGTAGCCGCACATGACTGATGACACACCAGCGTGAACGGCGTCTGCAAAGGGCCACATGTACAGCTCGTGCATGGTGCGATCGTCAATGTTGGAGGATACTGCGTCCACCATCTTTCCGTTGATGAGTGTGGCCTTGCGCTGCGTTTCTTGCTCGTTGCCAACGAGATGCTTGGCTGTAGCCTGGACACCGGTGTCTTGGATTGCCCGAATTGTTTCATCCATGGCGATGCCGGTTAGGTACGGATCTGGCGAGAAGCCCTCCCAGTTGCGACCGCCATATGGACTTCTTCCCAGGGCTCCTGCAACGGGTCTAATCTATCGTCAGTGATTCCAATACGAGGAGGAGTGGCAGATCTTACCCAAGAATCACGTGGGCACCCTTTGCTTTGAATTCTTCCGCCATTGCCTCTCCCCTCAGCGCCATCAGCTGCCTGTCCCACGTCGCAGCGGTAGTAACGCCGGATGGAAAGACACTGACTAGATCGCCGAGGCGAAGACCAATGGGTCCGTCTTGGATGCAAAGACCGCCGAAGCCAACACGTTTGATGGGCGCGATGTACTCGATGCATGTGCCGTCAAAGGTGCCTGTCACCATCGAGGACTTTTCCTCCAGTGTCATCTTGGAGATCAGCGAGTCTGCTTTACCACGGGCGTTGAGCCATTGTGAGGGGTCGATTGCTGTGCCACGTCAGTCAGCCTTGGCCGAGGTGTGAAGGACGATCTTACCTAATGATGATTGAGATCCTGCCACAACGGACAAGACAAGTGATAGTAAAGATGCCAAACTGAGTTGATACATCTTGACTTCGGAATTTTCAGTGTCTGAGCTACCGTCTTAGCATAACCATCCTATTTGCCAACGCTTCAGTTATATACACTACTCATGCACTTTGGCACTAAATCAGCACCCACAATCATATTCTCGCCGAGTTCCGCACAGCCCCCTAAAGAGGCCGAAATTAATCGTAACATGCCAAGAACAGCTCAATCCTTCATCCTCAGCTCTGCTAGCCCCCAACCTAATCTGTACAAGAATTGGCGCAAGAGTCTAGACCTATATCCACGGCCGAGCTAATCTTACGATTTATCGTTGCATCATGACTTCAGCTGACAAGGGTCCTCCCCATTTTCACAAAATACGACACGTCAATCTTGTACCTAGATTACCACTACTCTACCAAAAGTACTCGTCAAATCCCTCCTGCAGATCCGTGACTAGCCCATTAATGAGCTCAGCTGCGCGTCCCTTTGGCACCAAGACTTGTACCTGGTATCCCAGGCTCTTCGCGTCTCCTGCATTAGCAGCCTTTGCCGAATAAATCATACACCAATTTCGGACCGGCAGAGCCTCCACTTCTAACGGCTGGCAGAACTTATGCTGCTCCTGTCCGAAATTTATCTCCTCCAAAGAAACTCTGGTCCAATCATCTACATACAAAGTATCAGTGTCAAATGCGGGGGCCAAGTCCATGAGCCCGTTGACAGCTTGAATCAACTGAATCCAATCATCGCCCTTGACCAGTTTCTCTCGCGTCAGCCCAGTGACTCCTTCACGAACTCAGAATGCCACTTCGCTCAGATTCTTAGATGCTGGCAAATACGGCGTATCAACAGCTGTGATGCAATTACCGAAATACTCCCTAGCCATATTTCTAGCCTTGCGTGCATCTACTATAGTGACAATTTGCGTAACGCGCGGATGCAACCTAAGCCCATTGTACACAAAGCGGTTCAGCGCCTTGAGTAGGTAGGCTTTGGATGCATCTTGTGTTGAGCATGTCTCCGGGTGTAGCCGAGCCCGTGCTTTCTGAATAAGGATGCTGAAATCTTCAGCTGAGACATCAAATCTTGCATGTTCCATGGTCTTGAATACTATTGCGTGAACTAGAGGGGCATAGGCTTTGATATTGCTCATTACCATGGGGTACAAAACCTGCGATAGTCTGGGAAAACTTCGATCCTTGACTGCTCTCATTATTCTTCCCTTATCGCTATGCCGCTTTAGCCATCCTACTCTTGTAAGATGACGTCATCTCAATCCGCTCTCTGCTTGCTTCGTCTATATTCCTCTCACTATCAGACTCTTCAAATACCCCTCGACTCAGCCCGTAAAAATGTCTGATCTGGAACGTTCTCTATGATCTTCCTCGAGATATGAAGCTCAGCTGGTACGGATTCCGGAATCTGAATACGACGCGAATTGCTGGCGCAGAGTGGGCCACTTCGGCGCATTTATCAGACAGACCCCAAGACAGCCAATCATAGGCCGCTAAACCCGCCGCTGTTGGTTGTTGGTTGCCATGTAAAGTGCTGACATTGCAAGTACTTTTGCCGAGATCAGGCCATCCGAGACAGACACCTCAACTTATTTCACTCACAAGAGCCCGGGATCAGATCTGTCGAGATAGTTGTCATCCAGCAACTGCTCATAATAGCAATTGACGCACGCCATGCCTAGTTCCGAGTTGGCGCACCCGTCCCGCAAGATCCTGCTTGTGGTGACAACGGGCGGATTTACCCATGCCAGTACGTTAGACTAGCCCCTCTCCATATCACGCCACTCGCTTCCAAGTTCTAACCCTCGCCCAGGTCCCGTATTCGAGATTGGCAAAATTCTGGCCGCGAGAGGCCACACCATTGAGTTTGCTACGCTCGATGGCCAGGAAGCCTGGACCAAGGGCTATGAGTTCATCACAAAGGTCCACACCCTGGGCCCGGGCCCGACTCACGACCAGATGAATGCCCACTACCTGCGCATGCGAACGTGGGACATCTCAAAGGGCATCTCGGGGACCATGCCCAGCAAGTATCTATGGGACTCGTTCTGGCCACAGACATATCGGGGACTCAAGGCCATTATGGACGACCCTGAGACAAGGCCAAGCATGATGATTGCCGACTTCTTTGTTGATGCCGTCAAGGATATTCACGTCGAGTATAATCTGCCAATCACTCAAGTCTGGCCCCAGATGCCCTTCTTGATGATGCCATGCTCCTACATTCCTGGCCAACCGGGCTTTCAGCTTGAGGGAACACTTACCTCGGAGCATGCGAGCCTCTGGCATCGCATCAAGAACGAACTTGTCATCTTCTTTGACTTACCCGTCATCATGAAATGGATGAAGTGGACAAAGAAGATGCGCCTCGAAAATGGTGTCAAATATCCTCCTCACAAGATCCAGAAGCCTGACTACCTTATCTTTGTCAACTCCTTCCTTGGCCTGGAGATCCCCCGTGATCTACCTCCTACCTGCGCCCCGGTCGGACCCTTGATCAGTGACACTTATCCGCCACTCAACGAGGAGTGCGACCAGTTCCTGACCAAGCACACCAAGGTCATCTATATCGCCCTAGGCACACACATTATCCTCACCAATGCCGACGCAGCCAAGATCATCAACGGTCTGCTGCTTCTTCTTGAAGGGAGCTTATTGGACGGCGTCATTTGGTCTATTCCCAAGAGTGGCCGTCAAGATCTTGATGTCAACACGACTTACAAATCTGGTAACAAGACGCTCCGTCTGGGGGATATTCTGGATGGAAAGAACCCTGACTGGCTGTGTTCCACCTTTGTCCCTCAGCGAGCTATCCTCGACCACCCCTCGACAAAGCTCTACTACACACATGGTGGTGGTTCTAGCGCCAACGAGGGTCTTTTCCATGGGGTACCCATGCTATCGATGGGTGTCTTCATGGACCAAATCTCCAACACAGCTCGACTCGTCGATGGAGGCGTGGCTGAGCCGTTGAACAAGTTCCGCTTTACGTCCCAAGAGATCTACACAAAGGCAAAGAAGATTCTCCTTGATCAAGACGGGAGCTATAAGCGCAATAGCCTGCGGTTGATGCGCATCGCCCATGTGGCTGCCCGACGGAAACACCATGCCGCGGATCTGGTCGAAGAGCTGATTTACGACACTGAGCTGAGGTTCAAGGATGGAAAGGAACTCAGGCCCATGCATCTGCAGACGGCGGATATGCGCATGCCAGTGTGGAAGGCCAAGAACTGGGACATGTGGGCTGTCGGTCTTCTGGGAATTGGTGCTGTCTTTGGAGGACTGGGGATTGGCGGAAGAATGTTGTGGCTGCACCGCGGTTGGCTGACTGGATCAGTGAAGGCATTCGTGGGAAGCCAAGAGTGGTTGAGGAACCTGATCAAGTAGGTTTGCTAGTTTAGAAGTGTATTGGCCTTGTAAAACACCAAGCTTGGATAAAATACGATCACTGTTTCTGATATAGGTACATAAAAGTGACCAGCAGCAACCTCTATGGATCATTTCACTGGATCATACACGCCAACCCAACACTTCGTAGAGCTCTAGTGGAGACAGGCTTATGGGTAACTTGGGCTCGAAGTCATACGTCCTTCTTCATCTCACTATAGCTCACTAGCCACCAGTTAGTAATTCGTGCGACATACTTGAGCCAAAGACGCATACCTGGGAAATCCTCCTCTATCGCTGGTGGATGTAACATCCACCAGTCCCACGCCTTGAGCGCCAGGTTCCGCCACCAACACTTCCACGGGGTATCTCCAGCATTGAAAGTGAACTTTTGCGCAGTCATGCTCTGTCTAGCAGCTTCAAAGCCATGCTTCAGCATTGCTTCCTCATAGATGGATAGCTGCGCTTTGTGAAAGTCACCTTGGCCTTGCTTTGGCTCAGATTTGAGAGCTTTGGCAAGGGACATGGCGTCTATGATGGCGCTGCTGGCACCCTTGCCTAGGTATGGGGTCATACTGCCGACTTGGTTAATACTCGATTCATCCTCACCGGTATATAAAGAGTGAGAGACTCACCTATGAGCGGCGTCCCCCAAAAGAGTGACCCTTCCCGACTCCCATGCCTTGATCGGATCTTGCGTCTTGACATGCGACACAAACACTGAGCTGGGTACACTCAGCGCAATTAGAGCCCGAAGAAGCGGACTCCAATTCTTGGCTCTGGCCAAACACTCATCCTTCAACTCCTCGGGAGTCATCTCGTCAGGATGTTTGCTCTGGTTCTCGAACTCGTTGGTGTAGCAGCCCAGCCCAAACATGAGAAACGAGTCGGCAGGGTCAATCCTTTCCAAGTCATATGGTCCGTATGGTCTCTGGCGATCTTTGTAGTAAGCCACCACCATGGAACGCCTGGGTGTAATTGCCTAGCTGGACGTTAGCAATCGCATGGAGCCACAAGCGAATAGTGTGAACCTACCACACATCCAGACTTCCAAGGAATCATGGCTTCGGTCTCGGGTGTAAATGGCGCTTTGAAGTAGATAACAGTAAGGCCACTGGCACTCCTCTGACTGTCTGGCAGCAACAGTTTCCGCACTTTTGAACCGGCTCCGTCGGCTCCGACTAGGACATCGCATTCAATCGCATCCCCATCTGTAAAGCGCACCTTTACGTCACCCGACTCTCCACCCAATTGCTCATAAGATGAAAACTCTTTGCCGAATTTGACAATATCTTCTGCGCCGTGCAACAGAGCCTCCCGCAACTTCCACCTTGATATAGAGCACATGTCCCTGGACTGCTGCACATCCAGACGACAGATGAGCCTACATTGCTCATCCATAAACGCCACGCGATTTCCCTGTGCTTGTGGAATGCCAATGGCGTCATCGATAAGAGTCGCTACAGACGCAGGAAGCTGGCTGCGCAAATCATCGAGGATAGAGGGGGGAACAAGGATACGGAAACCAACCAACGAACTTATGCCGCTACCATCACGCACACCGCGCTCGTAGACAGTCACACTGAAGCGAAGGTCTTGTCGAAGTATCTGCGCGAGTACGAGACCACCAGGGCCGGCGCCAATGATGGCAACACGAATGGGTTTCTGGTCTGTCATGATGAGGTTTGAGTTGGCGAACCATCATAATAGCAGCCTTGATCATTTTTTAGTCTTGATAACTACATAGCCAACCGAATGAGTACAGAATACATGATCATCCCATTTCGGAGGAAAGAATGGGTATCAGCCCATTCTCGGCGGGTTTTGCTTACCATCAGTTGGAGGAGCCAACAGTCCAGTGGACCGGCACGGATTTCGGAGTTCGGCATACCGTACCCGCGAACCCTTTCTCGCGACAAAAGACAATGGCATGGCTTGATCCTGCCACAAGATGCAACGGCAACAATGGCACCATATTCAGAAACCCATCTGGCGCCAGCGACAGAGCAGCCGGTCCAGCTCAATAGCTCCAGCATTAGTTCGCTGCGAATGGCCTTGGGCGTCCTTGGGTATGATCCCTGTCTCACCTTGACTGGTTCTATGAGGCTTTTCTGATATGCGACAGGCTCTGGATATGCCTCTTTCTGTCCGCTCTAGAGACCACCATTGTTGCAACAGCATTACGCACCATTTCTGATGATCTCAACGGCCTCACACAGTCTAACTGGGTGGTTGTGGCCTACCTTCTCACTTACAATGGTAAAACAGACACTAAGGATGTCAATAAAAGTGTGATACTGATTATGGTCATTACAGGATTCCTACTTTTGTTCTCCAAATTGACGGATGTCTTTGGTCAGAAGACGCTACTCATCGTCGCTCAAGTCATCTTTCTAATATCTTCGTTGGCTTGCGGCGCAGCCCAGACGATGCCCCAGCTGTGAGTCTTCTTTCTGTCGCTCATCCTCTTGACCTAAATGTACAACTTTTGCTGACTACCATGATGTCTATCAGTATTGTTTTCCGTGCATTTCAAGGCCTTGGAGGCTCTGGCATCTACTCGACCGTCTTTATCATCATTGCCAAGATCGTCACAGTTGAGAAAGTGGGTATGTACACCGGGATACTCAGCTCAGTGTTTGCGTTGGCCAGTCTCCTAGGGCCGATTCTTGGCGGCGCTATTGTTGAAAACACAACCTGGCGATGGGTCTTCTTTATAAAGTAAGCCATATCCTCATAGAAGAGGTTGATCGAGTCGGAGGCATGTTATACTAACACGTGCAGTGGCCCGGGAATCGCCATTTCTCTGGCATTTGTCATCCCTGCCATTCCTGGTGCAAACCAGAGACTCTTCGGCAAGGATCAGATACAGCGCGTTGACGCCATTGGAGGTTTTCTTTCTTTGGCCTGGCCGATCCTGCTGGTATTTGCACTACAAGAAGCGGGCGACGGGTATGACTGGAATAGTAGCGTCATTATCGGGACGCTCGTAGGTAGCGTCGTTGGACTCGTTTCCTTCGTTGCGTATGAGATGTGGGTTCAGCGACAATCGCACCCAGAGCCGATATTTCCCATTCGATTACTACGGAGTTTGAGCTTGTCACTCAACCTAATGTAAGTCTTCATCGTCCTAGAGGTACCTCCATGAGGCAACTACACAGAAAAGGGGCCAGCTGACACGCCACGAATAGAAACATGTTCGCTATGGGCGCATGCTTCTACGCAGCCATCATATTACTTCCCCAACGATTTCAGTCTGTCAATGGGCTTTCAGCACTGAGTGCTGGCCTCAAAATGCTTGCATTTACGCTAGTATCACCGGTCTTTTCTATGGCATGCGGTGTAGCATTGTCTAAGAAACCTCTGGCTGTATACATCCTGTTGTTTACGGGGGCGGCTTTGACTACGTTAGGTATGGGCTTGTTAAGCAGTTTGCCGGATTCGGGGCCCGTATCCAATCCAGCTTATGGCTATGAAGTCATCCTTGGTGTGGGACTGGGCCTTATGATGCCGTCATTAATCTTCTTGCTGAAGGTTGAGTTTGACGATGAAAACTTAGGTTGGTCCTCCTGTCGATCTGCTATTTTACAATATTTCTGATAACATTAGCTGCTGTGATGGGCGCAAATAACACGGTTAGAACCCTTGGAGGCTGTGTTGCCTTGGCTGTCTGTTCAACTGTGCTACACACGGACCTCAACAGACAACTGGCCACTTTCCTTACTCCCAAGCAAATCGCAGCTGTGCTCAGCTCTTCAGCAGCCATCGATGAACTCAGTGATTCGGAAGCACTACAAGTAAGGAAAGCGTATGGTATAAGTTATGATACGCAATGCCGAGCTCTCTTGGCTTTTGCTGGACTGGGCGTTGTGGCAGCTTCGGGTTTGTGGTTGACAAGTAAAAGGTTGAGAACTAGGATGAGGGATGTGCGAGAAACACCGGAATAGATATAATTAGTAGAAGACAAACATCTTATATGAAGGCGCGAAGATAGTCAATGTGATAGGGGTATGGTAAAAACTTTAGACTGAGATCCAGGATGAGAACAGCAGAGATGCTTGATCGAACTTCACTACTCCGTTTCAAAATACAATGAGCAAAGGGCTCTACATAACAGAAAGTGTCATTCTAACCCTAATGAGGGGCTACAAATCAAACCTCTTAAGAGATAGCTTGATATTCAAGAGCACTTCGACTACTTAGTTACTATACAGCGGTCATGGCCTTATCAATTCCTCTCCTCAACGTCATTGCCATCTGCTGAACAACTCTAGTGGCTCTGGGTACCTCGTGTCTTCCTCCATGATCAAACTCAACTCTCCTCCTGGGATCACACATGTCCCTCAAGTTCAGGCTTTCCTTGACGGTGTGGTCTTTGGCCCCATAGATATGCGCTGTGGGAATCCGAATGGTCAAGCCAGCCTCCCTTACTTTGTGGGCCACGAGCATGTTCCACTGTTCGTCAGGATGTGGCTCGTGGCCCGGTACATATGGACCTAGCCAAGGCTCCGTCAATGGGGCCATTCTATCTACAGTTGGCTGGTAGTCGAGATGGTCCTGCTCTAGCGCCTTGGTAACAAGTAGGGGACTCCCACCACAGATGAACGCGGCAAATTTGAATAGATTGGGCCCGAATGGGTTCTGTACCTGATGGTCGATGATGACGGCTGCAAGGAGGGCTGCACCCTGTGAGAAGCCCATGCAGGCGTCGAATGGTCCCTCAGCCGCTATGAGATCGAGCAGTTCGGCTTTGGCTTCTGTGAGAGTGCGACCGCCGAGGCCAGGAGAGTACCAAGTGTAGAAGGGACCGGCAAATATGTTCTTGATCTCTGATCCACGAGGTTAAGAATGACGGGGCATTATGGAGTTGAGAAGGCGAGTTACCTTGCACTGGTTCTACGTCACAAAACCCATCATAGAACTTAAACGTGGCGTTGCTGTCGAGCGCATTACGAATTGGTCCTGGATCTTGTGTTACATAATGTCCCGTTGATACAGAGTATTTAAATTACCAGTTTGAATGTCAAGGACCTGATTTACAGATAGGCCAGTCAGTAATGGACATGCAAAGAATTCAGAATACGACGTACATCTGAGTTAGTGCCGGCACCATGCAAGCAAAGAAATCTCATCTTGACGAGTGGGTTTGACTGAGTTTGCTTTGACTGTAGGGCTGAAATCTGGGAGAGTTGAGTTCTGGTCGACGTGTGTTGTTGTTGTGTTGGAAGTCGTCAGGTAGCCTCTCCGTCACGTCTAACCACGTGGTTTAAGCGCTTGTGCTCATATGACGATTCCATTTCGCCATGTCGGCCATGTCGGCCTTGCCAGAGTGATCAGGAATCTCGGCTGCCGTGTCACGGCGGGTTGATTCACGCCGTTGAAACCCACCGAGCGAATGGGCGTTGCTGCTGGAACCCGCCGAGATGTGGCGTGAGCCGACCAACAGCTTCTACCTTGATCTGACATGTATCATGGCGATAAGCTAGCTGTGGATCTAGGCACCGGACGGGATAATGTCTGCTTCTCTTTACGGAATGTGGCTACGCCGGGAGGATTGCGCGATATGTGAACGCAACTGGGGAGTTGAAACGAGGCGCAGGAATCCGAACCTGGTTCACCAATCCCCCTCTTATCGCCTTACGACTTTTACCCACCACTGCTTACGGTCTGACCATCTCGGCGGTCTCTACCGGAGATCCGTTTGGCTGTTGGGACTTGTCACCTTGTAGAGACGTCGCGTTCTTGAGTGTGGTGCGTCTAGAAAGAATGTCATATACCAAAAACGCCTGGCTCGCTGTGACAAGACAACTGCACTCCTCACTTCTCTCACTCTTCTCCTAGCTTTTCTCCTAAGACATCTCATAAGTCCTCCGTTGACCTTTGTGCTAAGTTTTCCACTAAGTCTCTCCCCGTCGTCAAAATGCCGGTATACACCAAAGATATCATGAGCAATGGCGACGCAATGCCAGAGCCTCTCGTCCAAGCTGTCTTGCAGCAGGACAAGTCCATGCCTATCGCCATTGTGGGCATGGCTTGTAAACTACCCGGCGAGGCCACCAACCCAGACAAACTATGGGAACTATGTGCTGAGAGGAAAGCCGCATGGAGCGAGGTTCCCAAGGAGCGTATGAATATTGATTCCTTCTGGCATCCTGATGGCGAACGAGGAGGAAACGTATGTTTTTTTTTCATTGCTACTTTTTAAGAGTCTTGATACTGATAAAGTAACTCTAGACAAACGCAAAGGGAGGACACTTCCTCAAGCAAGACGTTGCCGCCTTTGATGCATCGTTTTTCTCCATCCCTCCCACGGAAGCAAAGAGCATTGACCCTCAACAACGCATCCTTATGGAGACGGTGTACGAGGCCATGGAAAGTGGTGGAATGAGTATGGACGACATGGCTGGCTCCGACACGAGCTGCTACGTCGGAAGCTTCTCTCGAGACTACTATGAGATTATCGATCGAGATCCGGAAACAGCACCTCTGTACTCGGTGACGGGTAACGGAGCTGCTATTCTGTCTAACCGTATCAGCTACTTCTATGATCTCAAGGGCCCCAGTCTGACCCTGGATACAGCCTGTAGTAGTAGTCTGGTTGCCCTACACCTGGCCTGTCAGAGCTTGCGTTCAGGAGAGAGCCATCGCTCTATCGTCGGTGCCACCAACCTGATTCTCAACCCGGATATTATCACAGCCATGTCTAACATGCATTTCTTCAGCCCCGACTCGCGATGCTACAGTTTCGATGCTCGTGCTAACGGCTATTCCCGTGGTGAGGGTATTGCTTGTTTGATTCTCAAGCCCTTGGCTGATGCTATCCGCGACAATGATACTATTCGTGCTGTGATTAGAGGCACCGCGTGCAACCAGGACGGAAAGACCTCAGGTATCATGTTGCCTTCGCGAGAGGCTCAGGAGGAGCTTATCAAGACGGCGTACAAGGATTCAGGTTGTGATTTCGCTACCACGGCCTATTTTGAGGCTCACGGCACGGGAACACAAGCCGGCGATCCCCTCGAGTAAGTCAGTTATGCAGAAACAGTGTCTAACTCTACTAACACATGTTAGATCTGGAGCTATCGGTAACACCTTTGGCCCCCACCGCCCTGTGGACGAGAATGGCCGGAAGCTCCCACTTTATATCGGCAGTGTCAAGACAAATGTCGGCCACACTGAAGGTACAAGTGGGCTTGCCGGTGTCATCAAGGCTGTCTTGTCTCTTGAACGCGGTGCTATTGCTCCCAACGTGTACTTTGAGACGCCCAATCCGCAGATCGACCTTGAAGGCTGGAACCTGCGAGTCCCCACCAAGGCGATAGCCTGGCCTACCAAGGGGCAACGTCGAATTAGTGTCAACTCGTTTGGCTTTGGCGGAACAAACGGACACGTCATTCTTGATGATGCGTTTCATTATCTGAATAGGCGTGGTCTGAAGGGTGCTCATCGAACGGCTCCTAGGCCACTGCTGGACTTGCAAACTGGTATTGCCATGAGCAACGCGATTGCTCCCGTCATGTCTAATGGCACCGGTGTCAATGGTCATACAAACGGCTATACTAATGGGAATACCAATGGTCTCACAAACGGCCACACCAATGGTCATACTAACGGTCTGACAAATGGCCATACTAATGGCTATACCAACGGCCACTCCAATGGTCACTCTCCCCCCCCTGCAAAGCGTCACCGCGTGTTCATCTGGTCTACTCATGAAGAGAACATTGCTGGAAAGAGTGCGGCCGTATATGCTGAGCATCTGGCCCACCGCAAGGAGGCAGACGAGGAAGCCTTCCTCGATAACCTCTCGTACACACTCTGCAGCCGCCGTTCCATGCTGCCCTGGAAGTCGTTCCTGGTGGCTCAGTCTCTACCCGACTTGGCTGAGAAGGTGGCCGCGACGCGCCAGAAGCCGGTGCGCGCATCCATCAACCCGCTCAAGATCGGATTTGTCTTTACAGGCCAGGGCGCGCAGTGGTTCGCCATGGGTCGAGAGTTGATACAGACGTATCCCCTCTTCCAACAGCGGCTGGAATATTCCGACCGGTTTGTCAAGAGTCTTGGAGCCAAATGGTCTCTCATTGGTAAGTAACTCTGGGCTGTGTATCTTTGGGGCCGAGACTAACTGGCATAGATGAACTGAACAAGGATGAGGAGACATCTCGCATTAACGAGTCCCTCGTTAGCCAAACTGCTTGCACGGCCCTCCAGCTTGCCTTGGTTGACCTGCTCGCCAGCTGGAGTATTCGTCCCCAGAAGGTCATAGGCCACTCGAGTGGTGAGATCGCCGCCGCTTATGCTTCAGGTATCTTGCCCACGGAATCAGCCCTCAAGGCGGCCTACTTCCGCGGTCTGCACTCTTCCCGTGTGCAAGAAAAGCTGCCGTCTGCTGATGGCGCCATGATGGCTGTTGGCCTTGCTGAGGAAGATGCCAACAACTACATCGGGGTCCTTGCTCCGGAGCTCGGGAAGGCATCCGTCGCGTGCATCAACAGCCCTACCAATGTCACTGTCTCAGGTGACCGAGCTGCCCTAGCCGCTCTGGAACAAGCTCTCCAGAAGGATGCCGTCTTTGCGCGGTTCCTCAAGGTATCGACGGCGTATCATTCCCACCACATGGAAGCTGTTGCTAGCGATTATGAGCACTCTCTGGCTGGTATGGAGGTCAACACGCCCTCGGAAACTATCGAGATGGTCTCGACCGTTACTGGAGAGCTATTGAAGTCCTCTGACATCCTCGGCCCCAAGTACTGGAGGGAGAACATGGTGTCCCCCGTCCGATTCAACACTGGTCTGCAGGCTCTCTGTGCTCCCCGTGCCACTGCCAAGCGTGCTCGTCGTCTTGCCGCCAATCAAGCATCTGTAGACGTCTTGGTCGAACTCGGCCCTCACGCTGCCCTGGCAGGTCCAATCAAGCAGATTCTGGGCGTTCCCAGCTTGGAGAAGAGCGGCATTGTGTACAAGTCTGTGCTATCTAGGGGACAGGATGCTTGCGCAACTGCTCTTGAGGCTGCGGCATTCCTCTTTGCCAAGGGATGTACGACTATTGACCTCTACAAGGTCAACTCCCCCGCTGGATCACATACAGCGCAGCCGCGTGTGCTCGTTGATCTGCCCCCATACTTCTGGAACCACAGCAAGAGCCACTGGATGGAGTCGCGGTTGAGTCTTGAGCATCGCTTCCGCCGTCATGCTCGCACCGACTTCTTGGGATATCCTGTCAATGACTGGAACCCTATGGAGCCACGCTGGCGCAATCTCATTCGTCTCCGTGAGCAGCCCTGGCTCAAGGGCCATATCGTACAGGGCTCATATGTCTACCCCGGCACAGGCTACATGTGCATGGCTCTCGAGGCGATCCATCATCTGCGACACATGCCTGAGTATACAGCACCTCAGGGTGACTTTGTGGGATACCGGCTGAAAGATGTCAAGCTGATTCGCGCTCTGATGGTTCCAGCAAGTGAAGAGGGAGTCGAGACGCTGTTCTCTCTGCGTCACTACAAGGAAAGTACAGCTTCTTACTCCAACACTTGGTACGAGTTCCGTGTCTTCTCTTGGTCTGCCGCTGATGGGTGGGCTGAACACGCTCACGGTATGATTACTGCCGTCTATGATGCCCCGAACACGGCTCATGTGAACCATATTCCCTTCAACCCGACGATGGATATTGCAGTGGGCTTGGAGACCTTTTCGGGCACCCGCACAGCTGAGAACTTGTATGACATCGTCGATGCTGTGGGTTTGGTGTACGAAGAGCCATTCCGGAACTTGACTGGAGACCTCGTGTCCAATGAGGGCATAGCAAAAGGAGTCGTTACTGTGCCTGATACCAAGTCCCTGATGCCCTTTGAGTTTGAGTATCCTTATATCGTCCACCCTGCCACTATGGACGGGTTTGTCCAGATGGTCTTCCCCGCGTTGCTACATGCCCAGTCCTCCATTGCGTCTCCGTATCTACCAGTCTTCTTCGCCGACACTTTTGTCCGTGGCGATATTGCTCAAGCTGCTGGCCATCGGTTTGACTGCATCGCAACTGCGGGATACACTGGCTTCCGAGAGGTCACGACCAATGTTCTTGTCCGCGACGAGGGTACCGGCAATGCTGTGGTCAGCTTTAAGGATGTCAAGTGCAGCGGAGTTGACTCTGGAGAGAATGCCAATGACGGTCTATCGGGTCGAGATGCTATCAAAAAGCTGTGCTTCCACTCTACCTGGCACCCGGACCCAGAGCTCCTATCCCAGGACAAGGGTGACGAGTTAATGCGTCCCTTTATTCCTGTCCCTGAAGACCCTCAGCGAGTGTCTAACCTCGAGACGATCGCCTACTACTACTACTACCGGGTTCTGCAGACTGTTACTGAAGACCAGGTTCCCAGCATGAAGCCACACCACCAGAAGTTCTTCCGATTCATGCAGTACCAGCGAGACCTCGTTTTGGCTCACAAGAGCCCTCACCAGACACCCGAGTGGGAGCAACTTGAAGACCCAGTCATCAGCCAGAAGATGGAGAATCTGGCTCTCCGTCTGGAACCCTCTGGTACCGATGCTCAGCTGATCTGCCGAGTGGGCCGAAAGCTCGACAAGATCCTCACCGGCGTCGTCGACCCGCTTGCGCTGATGCTGGAAGACGAGCTTCTGTACAAGTACTACGAGTCCGTCATGGGCTACGACATCATTTACCACTACGCCGAGATCCTTGCCAACAAGAACCCTAATATGCAGGTTCTGGAAATTGGTGGCGGTACCGGTGGTGCTACGGCCCCAATCTTGTCAGCTTTCGGTGGAAATAACGGCAAGTACCCCAAGTTTACCTCATACACTTTCACCGATATCTCTTCGGGCTTCTTCGAGGAAGCCGAGACCAAGTTCAAGGACTGGGAGGGCCTTGTTGAGTATAGACGACTCAACATTGAAGAAGACCCTGCTGATCAGGGTTTCGAGGCTGGAAAATACGATCTTGTCGTTGCGGCTTCGGTGTTACACGCTACGACCAACATCACTCGGACTCTGGAGAACACGCGAAAGCTGCTTAAGCCGGGTGGTCGTCTCATCTTGGTTGAGATCTCCAATATGCTCAACCAGGCCTTCCTCTTGTTTGGCTGCCTGCCTGGCTGGTGGATGTCTGAGGAGAGCTACCGCCCTTGGGGTCCTACTATGGACCAGGATATGTGGGCAGAGCACCTCAGGCGTGTTGGGTTCAGTGACCTGACTCTCGCTGCACCAGATAGCGAGGACCCCAAGGATGAGCTGGGCAGGGTCTTCTCTTGTGTTGCTGTTGAGCAGCCTGCCCCTCCATCCGTCGACCCATCTATTTCATCGGTGGTACTGATCGTCGATGACGGCGCACCTAGTGAGTTGGAGCAGGCTCTTGACGCGAATCTTTCGAAGCTGGGTGTTCCAGTTCGTAGGACTCGACTTGCCGAAGCGGCAGACACACCCCTCCAGAACGCTTGCTGCGTGTCTCTGGCCGAGCTCAACCGTTCCGTCATCAAGGATATGGCATTGGCCGAGTTTGAAGGCATCAAGACTATCTTCAAGTCTAGCCGAGCTTTACTCTGGGTGACCGAAGGAGCATTCAACAACGCAAGTCGTCCAGAGTCGGCCCTCTTCCACGGTCTTGCTCGCTCGCTCCGGGCTGAGAACGAGACCTTCCCGTTGACCACGGCGGACTTTGCGTACATCAATCGGAAGAACCCTTCAGAGACTGTACAACAATTGCTTGAGTTATTGCAGCAAGTCCTGCGGAACCCCGGAACTCAGGAGCCCGAGTATCACTATGAAGATGGCTCTTGGAAAGTCTGTCGCTGCCTCGAGTCTGTTGATGCCAGCGCTCAGATCCATGGCCGGCTACACCATGAATCGGCTGTCAGCGATAAGACAGAGTTGCAGCCCTTCTACCAGCCCGGTAGGCCCTTGAAGTTGAGCATTAAGACGCCCGGCCTTCTGGATACGCTGCGCTTCGAAGACGATCCTCTACCAGCCGAACCTCTTGGCCCCGACGAGGTTGAAGTTGAAGTCAAGGCGTCCGGCGTCAACTTCCGCGATATCATGATCTGCACGGGACAGATGTCTGACCCTTCTCTTGGACTTGAGTGTGCTGGCATTGTCCATCGCGTCGGAGACAACGTCTCTAATGTCAAGGTCGGTCAGCGCGTGGTAGCGTGGACTCGATATAACTACTCCAACTATGCTCGTACTCCCGCTTGCGTTGTCGAACCAATCCCCGACGACATGAGCTACGCCGCCGCGGCCTCATTGCCCATCGTATATAACACCGTCATCTATGGGCTACAACACATAGCTCGTCTCCGCAAGGGCGAGTCGATTCTCATTCACGCAGCTGCTGGAGGTGTTGGTCAAGCAGCCATCACCCTAGCCCAACGTCTTGGGGCGGATATCTTTGTAACGGTTGGAACTCAAGACAAGCGAGACCTCATCAAGAGCGAGTTTGGAATCCCTGACGAGCGTATCTTTTCTAGTCGTGATATTAGCTTTGCGCAAGATATCAAGAAGGCAACCAAAGGCCGTGGCGTTGATGTCGTGCTCAACAGCTTGGCGGGAGAGATGTTGAGTGCTACGTGGGACTGCATTGCTACATTTGGCCGCTTCATCGAGATAGGCAAGAAGGATATGATAGACAACCGTCGGCTCGATATGGAGCCGTTCCTGCGCAATGTCATGTTTGCCTCTATCGATCTCATCACCGTCTATGAGCAGAACATCTCGTTGGCAGGTGAGCTTCTCCATGAGACGATGGACCTCATCCGAACCAAGGCCATCAAACCTATTCCCCGCGTCAAGACATTCTCATTCTCCCAATTTGAGGAGGCCTTTCGTTTCATGCAGCAAGGCAAGCATGTCGGTAAGATTGTTATGGTGCCCGAAGAGAACGACATGATCCCAGTAAGTTTCACTTTGCAATGCCATTCCTGCTCGTTTAATAATTTCTACTAGGCTATCCCAGCATCATCGGGTCCCTTCACTTTCCAAGAGGACGCGTCATATCTCATTGCTGGATTTGGCGGTCTCGGTCGCAGTATGGCACGCTGGATGGCTTCACGAGGTGCCAAGAACCTCATCTTTGCTTCTCGTTCTGGAGACGGCCGCCCTGAAGTGCGCGAGCTCATTGATGAACTTGATGAGGTTGGCACGCGAGTTAAGGCTCTGCCCGTTGACATCACCAATGGACCAGCACTAGATGCCGCCATAAGAGGCATTGCCGACAGTTTCCCACCTCTCCGTGGTGTTGTTCAAGCTGCCATGGTTCTGGACGATGCCATTTTCGACAACATGTCTCTCAAGTCGTTCAACAACGGCATTAGACCCAAGGTTCAAGGAACTTGGAATCTGCACCAGTCTACGTTGAAGCAACCGCTCGACTTCTTCGTCATCATGGCGTCTTCTGTCGGTGTTCTTGGTAACTCCGGTCAGGCCAACTACTCAGCCGGTAACGCGTACGAGGATGCTCTCGCACAATACCGCCGGTCGCAAGGACTCCCTGCCATCTCGGTTGATCTGGGTATGATCTTGTCTGTGGGAGCCGTGGCTCAGGATTCTACAGGAATGATTCGCAACAATCTAGAGAGCAAAGGATTCGTGGGCATTGAGGAGGATGAGTTCCTTGCCATCCTCGAGACTTCCATTCGAGAGTCATTCTCTTCATCAGCTGCCGGTCAGATGATTACTGGCATCCAGACACAATCCACCCTTCCAGGTGATGACGGCGTTCCCGTTGACGAACCCTTCTGGAAATCTAGCCCAGTCTTCTCTCACCTCCCGAAACTGGGCGCCCGCTCTTCCGGCCAGTCCAACAATGCGGGCGAGCAGTCCATTCAGTCCCTCCTCAAGGGCGCCCTCTCACTAACTGATGCTGTGACGGTCATCATCGATGCAATGACAATCAAGCTCAGCCGCAGTCTGATGATGGACGTCGCAGAGCTGGACCCGACCCGACCAACCAGTGCATTTGGAATAGACAGCTTGGTGGCTGTCGAGCTCCGGAACTGGTTCCAGAAACACATGAAGGCTGATATTGCCGTGTTTGAGATTTTGCAGACGAATAGTCTGCAGACGCTTGCCTTTAGAGTTGCAGAGAAGAGTACTTTGGTGGAAAGCTCCCTGGCGGATGGACAGTGATAGTTTGTATTCTTTAGTTTATAGATATAAATAATTAATCTTTCTATGCTCTTGCTCGATGCGTATATTGGTATATTAAGATTTCCTTGATTCACTCGATGCCATTGTTCATTTACAGTCCTACTTGCTGACGCAGTAGCTATGGTTAGCCTCTCCCTTTGGCGAGAGAAGTTACCGGTCAATTATTTCATCACGGAATTATGCTTTCTTATATCTATCACCTAATTAAACCTTGTCTAAAGAAAATATTTATTCATATCTTTATACTTTAATTTATACTTTAATCTATGCTATAACGCAGAATACTATATAGGAAACGTCTTTATTATAGTGACCCTGATCCTTGAGATAAATTGTTCTCCTATCAAAAAGCTAAACTGAGTAATATCTTATAAGACATTAATACTCAGTAGCGAAGACTTTAGCTTCTTCATATTGGTATCTCCTAACGTTAGCCTAATAGCAGCCATTTGAGAACTGTGGTGGTTTGACTACGACCGGCCGACTGCGAATTGGGAGACTGTCACGACTTCTTGAAAACCCCTTGCGCGGAGCTCACCGTAACCTCACGCATGGCCTGATGAAAACTAGCTATAATGCAGCTCTTATCAAGGCATCACTTCGGACATCTGTCTCACTCCACGATGTTCCCGTCTAGGGAAATTGTATACCGCATGCAACTCGAATCCTTCCAAGGCGCGGGTATTAAACGCCGCAGCAGGAATAGTATCCATGTGATGGTCTGAGATGATCGCATCGTACGAGCGTCCATTTCGGTGAGTTTCTTGAATCTGACCCACAGATTCAAAAGTCGCCGAGGAGGCACAAAATTAATTCACCGAGCATGGCGGATTTGGACTCGATTGCACATCTGAATTCCGTTCCTACGAGCCAATCCGATCCGCCTTCATGATGAGATACAGCACGTTAAGGGAACAAAAGACCCTCAATCTGCATCATGATATACCGCCAGAAATAGAACCAAAATGGATACATTCGACGTCATAATTGTCGGTGCTGGCTTGGCCGGTATTAACGCGGCGTACCGTCTCCAAATTGCCTTGCCGAACCTCAGCTACGCCATACTCGAGGCCCGTGATGATATCGGCGGCACATGGGACCTTTTTCGCTATCCAGGCATCCGCTCGGACTCGGATCTATACACCTTTGGCTTCGCATGGCAGCCGTGGGATCAGGGCACCGCGCTGGGTGAGGGCGGTGCTATCCTCAACTACATGAGGAAATGTGCGCAGACATACGGGATCGACAAGCATGTTCACTGCCAACGGCGACTGAAACATGCGTCATGGTCTACACCCCAGCAGGAATGGACCCTTGCGGTAGAAGACACTGGCGCACAAAAGGAGCTTCAGTATCATGCCCGGTTCGTCATGCTCTGCACTGGCTACTACGACTATCACAACGGCCGTGACACGCTCATTCCCGGCCTAGAAAACTTTAAGGGCCAGGTAGTGCACCCCCAGTTTTGGCCCGATGATCTGGACTACACCAACAAGCAGGTAGCGGTGATCGGCAGCGGCGCCACGGCCATCACGCTGATCCCCAAACTCGCCGAGAAGGCGGCTCGAACTACCATGGTGCAGCGGAGCCCGTCGTACATCTTGTCCATTCCCAACGGTGGCAAAAAGGCGCCATGGCTGGTGCGGCTACTCCCTGCGCGGTGGGCTCATGCTTACACCCGCCTGTCGTTCCTGATATGGTCCCGCTTGATCTGGCTCTTTTGCCAGACGTTCCCGGATCGGGCCCGTCAGCGGCTACGGAAGGGCGTCGAGAAGGAGTTGCCGCACCATCTTCCCTACGATCCACACTTTAACCCGCGCTACAACCCCTGGGATCAGCGTGTTTGTCTGACCCCCAATGCAGACTTCTTCAAGTGTCTGCACACGGGCAAAGCTGACGTCAAGACGGGCAACATCAAAGAGGTATTTGCCGACGGCATCGTGCTTGAGAATGCGCTCCAAGACAAGATCCCCACTGATATAATCATCACGGCGACGGGCCTCAAGTTGCAACTGGCAGGTGGTGCCACCATTGACGTCGACGGCGTCCCTATCAAACCCTCTGAACAGTACTTTTGGAACGGAACCATGCTGCAGGATGTGCCAAATCTGTCCCTTGTCATCGGCTACACCACTATCTCATGGACTCTTGGTGTTGATACCGCCGCCATGCTCGTGTGCCGTCTGCTGCAGAAGATGGAAAAGGCCAAGCTATCGAGCGCCACGCCTCGAGCTGAACAGGGCCTCGCCCTGACGCCAAAGCGTCTGTTCAACCTCTCGTCGACGTACGTCACCACGGCAGAGAGCGAGCTCCCGAGAGCCGCAGACCAAGCACCCTGGCAGCCTCGAACCAACTACCTCTCCGATTACTGGTTCGTCAAGCTAGGCAGATTTGACAGGGGTCTTCAGTTTGCACGGGAGGGAAAGCAGCTGTGACGTATCGATAGGGGCACAAGGGGACTCGAAGGATGGTTCTATAAATGTCCATGGCCGTTCACCCTTTAGTCAGGGCTGACGGAGAAACGGGTAGAGATCGACCCCCACCAGCGAAGCGGGGGCATCAGCTCAGCTCATTTCAGTGATATTAAGAAACGCCAGCGCCTTGTATCATTTCTTGTCTGGGTATTTTGAGCTGCTCGTTGCTTATAAACGAGTCGAGCCATGAGCAGCCATCTAGAGTTGTAGAATTCGACGAGGTTAAAAAGCTGGGACATAGACCACCACGCAGATCCATTTAGTAAAGAAAGTCTATCTCCAAAGTAAGGTCCATTGATAGCCTTTAAAACTGCGTATCCTGTAGTTATCTGTAGTTATCTGTAATTCTCGGATTCTCCGTACTTTTCCGTGTTCGCTAGCGTCGTTCGCTAATTTCCCCGCGTTCAACACCCTTGATAGGCCTTTACAGGGATAGCTGGGCCGGATTCATCGGAATATCAAGCGCTGATAGGTCAAGTCACACACTCGCTAAGAGCCCCCGGGTCGTTCGGCAACTCAAGAACGTGCGGGATCACGTCCTACCATGCCGTAATATCGAACATCGATTTCAGCGGCATGTAATGCTGATCTTCAGAACAATACTGCCATGTAACGGTGTTACACATTCGTTAAAGACTGTCAGCAATGTACGGCGTAGGGGGCCTCCAGCGATCTTTGCCGAGTAAAGTCTAACCACGAGCCGAGCAGTCAAAAAGACGAGGGGCTGAATCACGCATTTTTAACTTTCTGGGATGTTGAAAAAAGATAAATAGCTCCATATAGCCCCTACAATTTATTTAAGCATCTCAACCCCATTACCATATTAGTATATCTCTCTTTAGCCATCACGCAGACTTCACCATGCAGTCTTGGTCACATCTCGGAGCTTCTGCGCTAATGCTTGCAAGTATGGTCTCGGGTCTCAGCATGAGACTGGACGCCAAGGCTAGAAAGTCTTGCGAGTATTCTGCGCCGTGGGAGACGCTTCCTGAACTTCCGCCTATGCCCAAGGCCAACTTTGAGGGTACAGCACCAATTGACGGCATTGATCTTTGGTATGCGACATACGGAAGACCGCTCGAGGATACTAAGGCGAAAGGCCTTAGCCCTGTTGTTTTCCTCCGCGGTGGCTTTGCGAATAGTGATTACTGGGCCAACCAGATCCATCACTTCAAGGATCACCCTTACACTTTAATCACAATCGATTCTCGAGCTCAGGGTCGTTCGTCAGATGATACCAGCCGTCCTATAACCTACGATCTCATGACTGAGGATGTCATTGGCTTGATGAACCATCTTGGAATTGACAAGTTCTCAACAGTCGGTTGGTCTGACGGCGGATGCATTTCTTTCGACCTCGCCATGAACTTTACTTCTCGTCTCGACCGTACCTTTGCATTTGGTGGCACTTATAGCTCCGCGAACATAAATTCGACAATTGGAGAGAATCCTGTGTTCACGGAGTATCTGGAGAGAGCTGAGAAGGAGTGGAAGAAAAACACGCCATCCAAGGGTTCGTACAAAGACTTTTCGGATAGAATGAACACGATGTGGGCAACCCTGCCGGCCTGGGACGCGAAGTCCTTTGCCACGATTCCTACACGGTACTCTGACCCTAATGCTCCCATCGTGTGGATTGTCGATGGTGACTCTGAGGAGGCTGTCAATCGCACCACTCCCGGTGAGCTTCATAGCTGGGTAGGTCAACATTTGCTCACTTCACTTCTATTGCTTATGTTAATGCAGATATGGGGTTCTGACCTCGTAATTCTGCCCGGAGTCAGCCACTTTGCGTAAGTCACTGTATCAAGCACCTATACGACATCAATTAACATTCTCATAGTTTCATGCAAGACCCAAAGACCTTCAACGCCATGCTTGAGCGCTTCCTCGAGATGCCTCGTTTCTCAGGCGAGCTGTAGAGTACCATTAGAGCTCAAGGTCTAGTACTTGGTGGCTAACAACACGTATCTGATGGCATCGAGCATACTGGCCGGCTGCGACGATAAGGGCATGGGCCACCATTCATTCATTTAGTCTAATATCAAAACTTAATATTACTCGAAACAACATTTGTGATCACCACATCCACTTCTTCACAGTTTCCCCTTCCTGCCTAGTCTCCAGTAACGCTAACTGCGAACCTGAAGGCTATACTAGTCTATCTTGTGCCATAGTGTGCCGATTGAACCTGCCAGCTCAGAATTACTGCTTCGGGTTACGGCGCTTTCATGTACGGACGCCAGCTGAGAGCCTCTCCAGGTTGGTTTGTGTAGGCTATTTAGCCTCACAGACTGAGGAGTGAACCCCGGATACTCGGTCAGTATTCTGATTTTGAGGTCAAAGAGCGGAACGAACACGGCTATTGAGCAATAAGTAGTTCAGCCAGGACCAGGATGCCGTGATAAATAATCGCCATTTGTGTATCGGCTATAGAGCATACCGAAAAGTACTATCTATAATTTTGCGCCTTCTCTCCTCTGCACTGTCTTCCAAGTGTCTAGTATAGTGTTGTTGGTACTATCCAACCTTCCCTGAGTAGCCTTGTAGAGCTTGGGTATGCCTGTCTTCTCGTAGCTCAAGCCCTCCATGACCATCGATGCCACGCCTTTCGCTGACAGGAAGATCTGCGGCATACCGTGTCCGCTGAAGCCCGCAAGCATATACTGATTCTGCCTTCCAGGTACAGCTCCGACGTGCGGTAGGCCATCGGATGAATAGCCCATAACTGGTTCTATTGTCAGTGAGTTTTCGATCAAGGGAGGCGTGTCAACTCACCTCCAGTCCAAACCTTGGACGTATACGCGCCGCTATCCTCCCACCCGTGAAAGACACGCTGCATATACCCATCGAAGTAATTCTTCGCAGACTCAATCAACTGGTCGTCGTTGACGTTGTTGTACCAGCTGTCAAGATCATGGTAGTACACCGATCGTGCTCCTCCAACTATAATGCTTCCGTCAAGCCTCGGGATGAGATACTCGTACTTAGTATCAGACCAGCGAATGATGTACGAGTTGGGCAGTAAAGGTGCTGGGGTCTTGCCGGGCTTGATATGACTGCAGATTCCCCTCACTGGGACGATCTTGTCCGCAAACTCCGGTAATATGGACGATGTGTAGGCGTTTGTTGCGTAAATGATCTTGGAAGTGCGTATCGCGCCGCGAGGAGTCGCTAGTGTCAGATAGCCGTCTTCATCAGGCTTCTCAGTAACTGCTGTGACGGGAGTGTTGGTCTGTAGATTGACATTGGCATCAAGGGCCTTGGACAGCAGTTGGAGAATGAGCTTGTAAGGCCAGCAGTGACCTGCTGTGTAGGAAAAGCAGCCTTTGGCTCCCTTGACACCCGATAGCTGAAACACAGACTGTGAGTACCATTTCAGCTATTCAGCGCAAATTGGATATTGCTTACCCTTTCGGCTTCAGCACCTTGAGCAAAATAGACATCTTTCATAACAGAAACCCCATTCTGTTTGAGAGCATCTACTCCCGATTTTATCTTGTCTAGTATGTCATCTGACATCAATGCATCGACGGCACGGGTGTAGACAAAGTCGCAGTCGACGCCCTCTTGCTCAATGGCCTTTTTGACAGCAGCAAGGTTCTTCGCCTCGAACTCTGCTGCCTCTGCCGCAGCTTCGATGCCGTAAGTAGCAAGAAGACTCGCAGGTCTATTGTACGGATCTGGCTTCAGATGGCCGCCTGTATTGAGTCGCACTCTTAGAGCAGAACTTTAGAAGACGGAAGGTCACGTACCATTTCGTCCGGTCGCTCCCGAGCAAGCTTGACGAGCTTCAAGAATCACAATCTTTGGTGGAGTAACGCCTCGAGCTTTGCATTGCTCCAGAATATGGTAAACCGTCGCGACGCCCGCGTAGCCAGCACCGATAATGGCAATGTCAACTTGGGTAAGAAGCTCAGGTGTTGAGCGATAGTTATCGAGAGGATGCGGCTCTGACCTCCAAAACGGGGTCGTGGCGTTGTCGACAGGAAGAGGAGAGGGCGACATGGTAGTCGATTGTGGCTGCATAAGATATCTTGGTTCAGTTGTTATCTATCTTCGAAGAAATAGGTAGCAGAATGGTGAGTAAAATAGGTGTAGGCAGCCAGTAACCCCCACGTTATTGACGCAGGGCTATCTTTCATAAACGAGGTGAATGTAACTCACCGTAGTAGCAAGACAAAAAGGTTACGTGTAAAGAACCTTGATGGCGAAACAAAAAGGGAAACTCTATCATACGTGCTATCAGTTGACCGGCCCGGAAGCAGAAACCGCTCGGTAGGAAATTCCTCGATGCAGTACTCCGTATCAGTGTTTCGTTGGTGTTGCACTCAGGCCATCCTATAATAAGACAAGATTTACAGAGTAAGCCCAAATAGCACTAAAGAATTACCAGATCAGGCACCACCGGCCCGGTCTAAATGCGGGGCTAGTGACGAGGTTAGCTACTCCGTACTGTCACATACCCTACACTGCCCATCAGCATCTCCCACGATAGCACGGCAATTTAGTGCCTCATGGTCGAACCAAACCTGGGCGTACTCCGCGAAAAGCAGTTTAACAAGCCAAGGCGGGGTAACCCTCCCACTTCTCAGTGCTAACCTACGCCATGAGTAACTGAGTTGGTTGGCTGATAACCAATGACATATATGCTGCTACTTCCCTCAATCAGAACAATCATTCCATTCGTGTTTGAGCCCTCGCTTTAAGTACCAATTATCACAGAATAATATTTTTCACAAGATGACGACTTCAGTCCCCAAGGACGACACCAAAAATAGCGGACATAATGATCTTGCTCCAACAACTAGCTATATCGATGGCGAAGTCCTCGATGCAGGAATTGACTATAGCTACCTAAACACTTCAAAGTTCACTAAATTCTACAGGAGTGTTCTATTCCAAATGATTCTCCTTGGACTGTGAGCCATCCGTCATGACCCCGACACAATCCATTGCTAACTCTTGTGTGCTTCCAGTCTCTCATGTGTTGGTCCGGCCATGTCCGATGCCATTTCCAACCTCGGAGGCGGTGGTCTCTCCACTCCGTATCTAGCAAACTTGGCGACCTCACTGAACTACACGGCTGGTTGTCTGCTTACTCTTTTTGGCGGCCCCTTGATCAATAAGTTTGGTATCAAGTGGTCCTGCATCATAGCAGCGGTGGGAATGCCTCTTTCCGGTTCTGCGTACTATGTATGCGCAAAGTACCGTGTAAATTGGTATCTCATTTTTGCAAAGGTAAGCCCAGCAGCGTATGTCTCACTTTGATCTGCCGTCGCTGATAGGCTTTGTAGATACTCACTGGATTAACCTATGGCTTTTTATACGTCGCAGAGTCTACGGCTATGCTGTCATATCCTCTCGCGAACGACAGGGGCTTCTATCTCGGTGAGCAACATTTAATCTCTCTATCAATCATTTGCTGAGCTTCCCTTAGGTGTCTGGTCTGCCATGCGGAACTCGGGTAGTGTCATAGGAGGTGCCATCAACTTTTCCAATAATCACAGTGACTCCAAAGCGGGGGGTGTTGCGTGGTCTACCTACCTCGTCTTTATTGCCTTCGGTAAGCCACACTCATCCAAGGCCATTTCTGAAGCGTCTAACAAGAGTTCTAAGAATGTACTGGCTTGGTATGGGCAACCTTGCTCTCGCCAACTAGACGTGTCCGACGCCATGATGGCACCAAAGTTTCCATGTCCGAGAGAGCCAGCTGGAAGCAAGAGTTTGCTGCTTTATGGAAGCACTTACAGCGCAGAAAGGTAAGCTGAGTTATTCTGTAATTCCCTTGGCAAGTTTCTGATATTAGTATCAAGACTTGGCTCATGGCTTTACCTGCTTTTTACTCCTTCTTCTGTGGTGGAACCATGGGTACTTATCTGTCGTTGCACTTCTCAGTGCGGGCGCGAGCTTTGTCTTCTCTTCTCCTCCGTAAGTGTCGATCCAACTCTTCCTGGGCATAAAATGATAACCTGGTATCATCCGTTAGCGGCCCTTTCCATCGCGGAGGTGATAGCGTTTGGAAAGCTTCTAGACAGAGCCCGCTGGTCCCAGACCAAGCGAGCATGGATCTCTTTTGCCTGCTGGCTGATCCCACAGGCGGCATGCTTCATCTGGATTGGGGTTGAATATGCAAAATTTGGTGGAGGGAAGCTCGAAAATGCTCTCGACTATGAGACGTATGTTCCTCCTTGACCATATATCTTCTCTTGCACTGATTACTAACGGGCATTTCTCAAAGCAACACCAGAGGATGGGTCGAAGCCTACCTACCATATTTGATGATGCAGTCAACGAGCTACGTATGCCAGTTATCTCTATACTGGATCCTAGGCACTTTCTCCACCGATGCCGGATCTTCTGCTCGTTCGGGAGGTTTACTCAGGGCCTTTGAGACCGCTGGACAGACAGTATCTTACGCCATCAACTCTCACAGAGGTTCAGATGCCAGGATTCCCTTCTATGTTCACGCTGCGATCTTTTGCCTTACTGTCCCTTGCATGGTGTTCCTGATTAGGCTTGTTCCTGCAGCCCCCGCTACAATGGATATCGATGTGGAGCCAGTCATCGATTCGCCTGATAAAAAGCAGGTCACTTAAGGTCGGAAATGGAGGACAGTAGTAGGCATTGATGGTGGGTTTATTGGTAGGATAGAATTGTGATATGGAAGGCTACCGGGCAATGTGTGTTTTGAGATTCCGCTACCCAGAATGAGATTTATTTACTTTGAGCATCCTTTACATGGCCTTGACAATGAATGAATTGTCAACATTAATGTTCATCGTTTGCGAGGGGTGCCGCAGTTCTGGTGGAAACCATCCACATATCAACATCACATCGTTCTGGAGCACATCGCAGCACTTTGGTCCATAAGAAACTTCCTGAGCATTGCTACATTTATGCCACGGGTTAATATGACAGTTAGTGTGTTGTCAACAGATTTCTCAATTACGTTTATCACTTCGACGCAAGTACACCTTCCCCAGGGCATCAAAGGTTTAAGTGCTAAGGATAGTATGACATGCAAGTTCGCGATTATCTTTTTTCGTCTAAACCTAACTCTCAGAAAAGAAGGTCATCAATGTTTGCTTAACAATGCATCAATTCAGGTAAAATCACTGGATGTTCATTTCTGGCCAATAATCAGTTTACAACTTGGGCCCCTCCTCAACTGTCAGAGTGCCCGTCTTCTGGATAAGGTATTCTTCAATAGCCACATCCTTGCCGGCTTCCTTGCCATAGCCTGACATTTTGATTCCACCAAATGGAGATTCGGCACAAGAGGCGTTACCTGTACAGTAGTTAGTCTCAATGGAAAACTCAGCGGCACAGATTAACATACCTGTATTCATCCCGATCATTCCAGCTTCTAAGCTTTCCAGAAGTCTCCATGTTCGGGAGACGTCTCTGGTGAAGAAGTAAGATGCCAAACCCATCGACGTATCATTTGCTTTCTTCACAACCTCCTCTTCGGTCTCGAACTTGTACAGACCTAATATAGGTCCAAAGATCTCTTCTTGAGTTGTGAGCATGTCCGAGGTCATGCCCGAAATGATGGTTGGCTCGAAGAAGTACCCATTCAGATTCTGTGGCTGTTTGCCTCCACAAAGGACCTTTCCTCCCTTGCTGACAGCATCTTGGACATGTTTCTTGACCTTGTCAACACCACGAGCAGTAGTCAGTGGCCCCATAGTAGAACTGGAATCAGCTCCATGTCCCACGCGGAGCTTGTTCGTCGCGTCGAGCATCATCTGCGCAAACTTGTCGTAAACGCCGCTTTGGACGTAGACTCGATTGGCGTGGGTGCAAGCCTGGCCTGCTGTTCGCCACTTGAGTATCATAAGAGCTGCAACTGCTTGCTCAAGATCGCCATCATCAAAGATGATGAAAGGGCAATTACCACCTAATTCCATAGTGACCTTCTTCAGTCCCTCGCTGCAATGTCTTGCGACGATGCTGCCTACAGCAGTACTACCAGTAAAGGTAACCTTGCGGACAAGCGGGTGTTTGCAGAGTGTCTCGCTGACCGATGGGGTGTTGGCGTTATCAGTTGAGATAACGTTAAGCACTCCAGGGGGCAGACCCGCGCGAAGGGCAAGGTCTGCCAGGGCCATAACACTAAACGGTGTTTCAGGCGACGGTTTGACAATCATGGTGCATCCTGCCGCTAGAGCAGCCGAAACCTTGCGGATGATCATAGCAACAGGGAAGTTCCAAGGGACAAGAGCAACACATACACCGATCGGCTGCTTGATGACAAAAGTTCGGCGATCGGATATGGAAGGCTGCGCGACAGACCCTCTAATACGCTCAGCCTCGCCGGCGAACCACCAAGCGAAACCAAGGGCATAATCCACCTCACCGAGTGCCTCTGCCATCGGTTTGCCGGTTTCGAACACGACGATCTTGGCGATGTCTTGTCGTGCATTGGTGATGAGTTCATGCCACTTGAGTAGGATCTTAGCTCGTTGGCGAGGATTCATGTGGCGGTAGCTTTGGAAGGCGGCATCTGACGACTGAACGTATTTATCAACATCAGATACTTCGTTGGTAGGACTAGTGGCCCAGATCTGACGCGAGCCAGGATCTACAAAAGATTGTATGAGTTTCTGTTCTTTCTTCGCTTTCTGCGTATGGTGGCTTGAGTTTACCTTCAACGTCAAAACGCTTGCCGGACTGGGATTGGACCCATTGGCCGTTTAATAGAGACTCCTCGTGAAGGAGAGACGGGTCGTCCAGCTGTAAAACAGTTGTCAGTCTTTTGTCATGATGTATCGGCAGTAGAAAAGGGTCTAGACCTTGAAAGGGAAGCTTCGAGTCATAGCGCTATTGCCAAGGGCGAATACTTGAATGTTGATGCTGATGAGGGTATACAGATCATGGCTTTGGGTATCGAACTTATTTATATAATTACTTATTGTATCAAGTGAGGCGCTATCCTGAACATGAAAAGTGCAACCGGCTCGGTCATAAACGCACAGTGAATAGCTTTCTGGCACTGTCCTCCAACGACCGGATACACAATTAGCTCCATTGCCTTGTTGTTCTCCATCTCAGCCGGTTGTTAGTCAGTAAAAGGTTTGTCATGAATCTCGAATAGCCATCTAGCCTGCACTCCATGAGAGGTCTCTTATCGTCCTGCGTCCTAAAATGAGTTGCCGATCGTCGGATACGACGGGGTTGTAGAACGCGGCACTAGGTTCCCCGCTTCCCCGAATAGGATGTTGCCAGCCGGTGCCGGTCCGGTTCTCACTAGGCTATCAGTCCCCAGCAGTCTTTCTAACTCTTTCCGGGCTACAAGCCGGCTACTTGGTTCTAAGTGTGTAGATTATCATCTATTGATTATCCTGCTTGTTTGATAGCTTTTGATAACGGCTAGCCTATCGACGATGTTTGGAATCGTTCTAGGGAGATATGTGTACGTGTTCACATACCACGCAATGAATGATGATGCTGACTGAAAGGGCAAGCGGAATTCTTTGGTTATGATCGAGGAAAAACAAGGCCTATTTATCGCATCTTAAAGAACTTGCCCAAGTCTACTCGTCTACTTGATGCCTATCCTCTCCTGCATCAGCACAAAAACCGCCATCTATTCCTCGTTTTATTTAGCCTTTGATGGTATTTCATCTATGTTTCTTGTGATTGCTGCAATGTGCTTCTAGTCACCGCCAGCAGCGACCGAATCGTGGACTGAACCTCAGCCATAGTCGACGACGACATACAATCCGCTATTCCCAGATTCCCTGAATGCATATACTTGGACTGAAACGTCCTCACCGAGTGATACAGATGTTTCAATTGGTAGTCCACCACAGTCGCTAGCAAGATCAATCTCAATGGCGGATCAAGCTTCAGGCCGGCGACGCGGCAGTCCAGCGAGTCGAACAGCGGGCAATCCTGGTTCGATACAGATGAAGATACCGCGTTACGGATCTCTTGTAGTATCTGATCGTATGTAGATAGTAGAAGAGACAGGGGCGTCAGGACCAGGTGAAGGACTGTTTGCCAATTGGAACAGACTGGGTCTGTCGCATCGCCATTACTTTTCACACATTGGTGTAAAAGCTCGGTCACGACACCCAGGGTTTCTTGGACGGGTCGCATGGCTGCTTCTGTGTATTTCGCCGGCCGAGGTTGAGTGCCGACGCCCCTCGCGTGAACGGGGGGCAGTTTCGTTCGTAAAAGCTCCTGCTGGAGGCTCGATAGTCTTTCTAGCGGGCTAGATGCATTCGCTGTTTCATTCGTTACACATAGGCGTGGATCGATGTTGAGATCGTTCGAAGAAACAGGTGTGCTTGTCGCCAGAGGCCACAGCTCTTCATCAATGGGCATGTCGAGAAACGAATGTGTGGCGTTGAAGTTGTCGAAGGTGTTGGTAAAGTCGAAAGAGTTGAAGAGTGCTGTATGATCTGAAACAAGATCAACGGCGGTGCATACAAGATTGGCGAAGGACGGAGACTTACCTGTAATGCAACTATCGCCGAGCTGTGGAGGTGATGGCGGCATGGATATCCCCGAATCCGCAGTTAGTGCATCTCTATCAGAAACGCCATAAAACGCAGCGTTGGGGACAGACTGTGTTTGCTGTATCTCTCTGCCGGCCATCGACGCCTTGCTAGGTCGTCCGACCTTGAGAGCAGGGCTATAAACACAGACCAAATCGTCACCAAGACATCGTGTGCAACCATCCAGGTCACCAGAGCATCGTAGTTTTCGAGCGTGACACCTGTCGCAGGCGAGTCTCTTCTTGGGCCGTGTTCCGGATGGACTGTGCATTATTGCGGAGAAAGGGAACGCGGTAGCTAATTGGGGTTTGAGCTACGGAAACGAGAATGCAGAAGAAACTAAAGCGGATTTTTGTTGTTCTGCTGCATGGTAATGTAGCAATTGGGTATCCCAAATGGAAGGATTCGGGATCCTCGTTATGCTGCTGGACATGCTTTTACGAATGCCCAAGTCGAGAACAAAGTTTCGATGTTGGTTCTGGCGAACAGGCCCCTGCAACACCCCTGCTTCACTACTTGATTTTAGTGGGCTTGAAAACCCGTCAGCATTCGCAGTTGGGACAATCAGAGACATGTTCTTGCGATAACGCACTCATCGTACCACCCACAGACAGCAAAGGATCTAAACCCCTGGACGGCACAGAACTTCGGCATCTTCCATTCTTGCAATTGTGCAAAAGATCCATGCGGAAGGACATTGTTCTTATCCGATGAATCACCCGACAAGTCACGCAGCGCACCTACGCGACGTTGCATTCCATATCTGGCCCCCAAAACATGTAAAACAGAGCAAGAATCCTTCCATTCGCTGCAGCCATCACGGCGGCCGGGTAGGTCCTTAGCTTCCGATAATTCTTGTGCCGTTCCCGCTTACCCGTCTGTCAGGCTAGTACAGCATGGGAAGCTCAAACGGTAATTGAGGGCTTTAGGAAAAGCCGTGCCGCCAAGAGGAGCCCGGGCTGTAACTCTCCTAGCCGCCCGCCAATCTCGCCCGGGGATACGCTGCGGCGAAACAAGTTCAGTTGCAAGCGTCAGCCCTGTGGTCGGAGCTGGGCGATCATATCTTGGCGTGCAGCCGGAGGTTATATCGAGAAAAGATAATTTCTTGTGATTATTGACCTGAACTTGTGAGCGTCGCATCATGCTGTCCGATGATTAGATGTCACTATGACCGTGCTTCTGTACATTCAACGTACTTGCAGCGCAGGTCTCGGGCAGGTTCGCGATCATCTCCAATACACGCCCCCAACCAAAGAGAGTCCTACGTCTACCGCAATCACGGGCTTTGCATTCCGAGGTCGTACGTTAAGTCATCTTCAGTGGGGAACTCACGTCGGACCCATCGTAAGCAATCCATTTATGAGTCTGTTGAGCATTTTACGCATTCTGCCTCATGCGCCTCAATCTCATCTAAACGGAGCAAACTTTCCTCCCGTCCTCCGCTCGTCTACCCTGCAGACAAGGTTCGTGCACCAATCGCAGGCGCAAGAACGCGAGCGTGTGCTTTAGCCAGTGGGTCAGAACGTGTGTTGGTTGGTCTGCATGATGGTTGGTAGTAGCGAGGTTGCAGGGATATCCTTCTGTGGTGACGGACGGGGAATTCTTGACGCATGTCAGACGCCTCATTCGGCCTTCGGAAACTGGCGAGTCTGTACTTTTGGCAGTTTTGTGTTACATGCGCGGCCCTCGTTTGTAGGTTCATCAAATTACATCGTCCATAATTATCCAATTCTACCGGGGGACATTCGCGTTGCTAAAGAGTATCCTCCAACCAGCGTTGCCATCTCGATGATCCTATTTAGGCTGTCACTTTCGCCTAGGCGTTCTGAGAGGTAATCTTAGTAAGCCCAGACAAGATCCTCACCGTTGGCATGTCGAACGGCTGTTGAATACAACCCATTCCTATCTTTGGATTCCAAAAGCGTATCACGGGTAGCTTGAGGCAGGTGGACAGACAACACATTGCAAAGATAACAGGAACCTTAGATTGCTACCTAATCATGCGATGGATCTAGAGCAGAGTCCACTGTTACTTGCGGTTTTCAGGATCCTCCGCCAATATTAGAACACGCGCCCACAACTTCGGACTACCCTACCCCGAATAGCAAGTGACAACCCCATCGCGGGCTTAAGCAGCAACACCGACAGGCTTCTGGCAGAAAGCGCCGAGCTCAAGCTATATGACGGTCAGCCACTCTATTATCGTGAAAGCAGAACTAAAAAACTTACAATCTCGGAGAGGCCACAGCAGCGAGCCTTCTGGCCAGACTCGGCGCAAATCTCCTGAAACTCTTTGGCGCTGTTGGGAGTCTTGGTAGCTATTATCACTATCAGTAACTATCGATCTTGAAGATTTAAGGGCGAGCTCACGAGAGCGGCAGTCGCCGGAGAGAACACCGACGAGGTTGAGACTGCAGCACTGGGGGTTGCCAAAGAGGCCACCGCTGGGGCAAGCCTCGTAGCCGTTGGAGGAAGTAGCGGGCGCGGCGTAGGCAGTGCCGGCGAGGAGGAGAGAGACGATGGTGTAGAACTGCATAGTTGCGGTGTTGAAAGATTGGATTGGAAAGACTGAAGAGTGAGTGTGATGAAGTGTTTGAATGCTGAGTGATGGTGATGAAATATCTGGAAAGCTGGTGCAAGATGCAGTCTTTATAGAAAAAGATGCTCTAGAGCTCCGAGACAAGTTATCTCTCCTTGGTATTCTGGATATCATTTTCCAACCTCGCGTTCCTCAACGACTCTGAGTTGAACAAGATGACTTCTATTTCCGGCGCTATTGACCGGGGACTTTGCAGCTTGGAATGCTTCTCAGCTTTGCATCGTCCTCTCTTGATGCACGAGGATGGACCGTGTCCTTGATAAGGCCAACCGAGTTGTCAAACCCAAGGCGCTAACTCGATTCATCTGCAGATCATCATGTCCCAATGTCTAGAAACTTGCTTACCCCAGAGTGTTGAATTTTCAAATAAGAATAAACAAGCTGAACTCAGTAACCTATGGGTGTATGTTGACCGATAAACCTCGTAAGTCCCTTGAAAGGGGGAACAAGATCTCCATTACCTTTGTATAATATAAAAACGCGCTATAGAATCAATTTCAAGCTCTCAATAAACAGATTAATTGCTACATTTAGAAGTGGAAATAAGAACAATCACTGGATAAAGCTTCCATCAATTGCGGTGCTGTCACTGCTGAGACACGGCACGGAAGTGCAATGCATCATTGTTGATAAAATCGAACCAAAACTGCAAGGAGAATCCCTTGAAAACAGTTTCGGAACTCGCTATCACAAATGACTAATTGCCGAAGCAGCGAGGGACTTATCATGAATCAATTGTTACTTACTCGATCCAAACTAAGGACCTGACTCATGCAACTGCCGTGACGATTGTCTTAGACAAAACCAGGAACGAGCCGCCGATCTTATCCTTAAATGCGGAGAATTTCCATATAATTAGTTGGAGTTGCGGGCAATTCTCCACGCCACGATGTTACCGGCAACATGGCTGACAGCTTCTCCCTTGGCAATGTCTCAGACGTCAGAGAATAATTGTTGATCGCTACTTGATTCGATATGACAGCTACGCATGGGCATCTTTTTAGCGACAGCAGGGAAATATCAGTTGATGATCACTGCTGGATTCAAAAAAAAAATATTCCCTGTTATGCATTGCTTAGCGTGAAGAGAATTACCATCAGAGCTGAACTGTTTGCTGTTACAACGCATCACATATGAAGGTCAGTAGGAGTTCCCATACTCAGCTATATTGACACAGTCATTGCGATTCGATGATTTGATTATGAAGCTAGTATGTCTTTATGTACAAGAAGGGAAATTATTAAATCTTTCCATCGAGTAGCCAAAGTCGGGATTAAGCACATGCGTACAGATACATGTTCCCAAACTCAACAACATCCAACTAAAACCACATCCATGTCAACACTTTCAGCCACATAACGCTGACTATGAAGCTATACTAAGATGATCTAGAGAGGAATTCCAAGAAGGATGAACCCAAAACCAAAGACTCCAAGAAGACCCAGCTCAACGTAAGATGCCTTGGCAGCGCCAGCAGTGATAGCAGATGGTTCTCCAGGAGCAGGGTTGGTAGGACTAGTAGCCGGCTTCTCTCCAGAGGGGCCGGGCACGACAGAAGTTGCGAGGGAGGCAGGGGGTTGGGGAGCTTCTCCTCCAGCACCGCAAGTAGTGCATGTAGCAGGAGGGTTGGGCTGAGCAGGGGGGTTAGAATTCTGCCCTGGTCCGCCGCAGGTGGTGCATGTAGGAGTGTTGGGGTGCTCTGGCTTGTCCTCGCCAGGGTTGGTTGGCTTGGGAGGATGAGGAGGACCACCAGATGGAGGGTTGGAGCCGCACGTGCTGCATTCTTCTGGCTGAGGGCCCGTAGGGACTGGCTTCACAGCAGGGGCAGATGGAACGGGTTTTGGCTTGCTAGACGGTTTGCCCTGATCATGGCATGTCTCACAGTGCTCGGGCTGCGGCTTGCCAGGACCCTTAGTAGCCGTAGCCTCAGGACACGGGACAGTCAGCGTCGCAGTGATAGGCTTCTCACCACAAGAGTTACAAACGGTAACAGTTGAGGTAAAGCCAGGCGGAACACCAGTACTGCGAGGCTGACACTTTTCCTTGTGGCAAGCCTCAGTGACGGTGTACGTGTGCAGACGCAGACCCGTGGAGCAGAACTCGTGATACTCAGTTGTATACACAGTATGAGGACCGCCACCTGTGCCGTTACCGGACCAAGTACTGGTCGGTTCGACGATGATGGAGGTGATGGTGGGAAAGGTCTTGGTTGAGGTAACGCAGGAGGTTGTCTCTGCGTTGACTGCAAGACTGGCAGTTAGGAAGAGGGGGATGAGAGACTTGAAGGTCTGCATTTTGAAGCGAGTGACGAAGCGAGTGACAAATGTGTGAACGAGTGAAAGTTGTTAAGGGACTTGTGTGTCTGCCATGGCGAAAACATCCCTTCGTTCAAGTATTATATATCGCCAGCCTCTCAGTACCCAAATTGTTCTGAGATTACTTTGACACTTTCATACCTCGCGATATCGCAACATTTGCAACTTTGAGACTAAGCATGGGCAACGCAGCTGAAGCAAAAACTCAATGCTTGTTGATCCGTCCAAACGAGGCAATACTATCTTCTCTGCCTTGCATAACGGTTCCCACGTCAAACCTGTTTCGGGAAGGTGATCGGCGGCTAATATCTCCGATGGGGCCTCGCTTAGCGGAGAGAATGTGAGACAGGCAGGCGATAGTGTCAATAGTTGGGTTGTCAAGAGACAAAGCGTTGCGATGGGAGCTGAAAGGCTTCACGTTTGCGGTGGGAGGTCGGGTCATGGCGGTTGTGTCGGCATTTGTGAACTCAAACATTAGGAATTACCTCAATGCCGAGCGTTGTTGTTATTCAAGAATCAACATCTGGGTTGGCTGGTTTGGACACGTATATACATCTCCTCCTCAGCCTATTTCAGTAGCAATTACTTGAATCTCAACGATATCTTCTCATCAGTTCCTGATTACACTCGTTTCCTTCATAACACTCGCTTCTTCCTCTCTTTCAGCACTCGTTGATCATCATGAAGTCCAAGAGTATCATGGCCGCTTCAGCAATGCTGGAGCTTGCACTTGCCCAAGCTTCTGCTGATCCTCTTTGCTCAACCGTCATCAATCTTCAGCCCATTGAATATCAGTTCCAGCAGCCTATCCTCATCGACTCCTACTTCCCTGCAAACACCGACATTATCCTTGATGATGGCCTTGTTGTGCATGTCACCAATGCTCCCACGTCTTTAAGCACTGTCCTGACTGATGTCTCGACAAGCTTGACAACGCTGACAAGGTTCGTTCCCCGTGTCGTCGACACTTATATGAAACACCACTCATTATTTCTTCGTAGCGCTACCAACGGCAACGGCAACGGCTCTCCTCCAGATGGAGGCTACCTCACCTTTACTGTTCCTGCGAACCCTGATGATATTGGCAATCACCCTGTCACCAAGACCTATCCCCCAACTAAGCCTGGCGAGCCAGGTATCGTAATCATTCAAGTCCCAACATCTCCTCCTGGAGCCAATGGGGTCCCTCTCTCTTCTATTCCATATGTCACGGTCACTACTACTGGAGACTTCCCTTCTCTTACCGGCCCTTCCACTACTACCATCACTCCTGATGAGCCGGGAGCAACCGGTAGTGTCATTATTGAGGTCCCAAACACAACCAATACATCGCCTTCTGCATCTTACATCACAGTCACTACTCCAGGAGACCTTTCTCCCACGGATGATCCTCGCACAAGCACTATTCCTCCCAGTAATCCTACTGATCCTGGCACTGTTATTGTTGTCGTCCCCAGCTCCCAGGTTCCATCGCCCTCTTCTGTGCCCTTTATCACTCTTACCACCACTGGTAGTACCCTTAACCCAACAGACAATCCAGTTACGTCAACTATCTCCCCATCTGGACCAACTGGTCCAGGCACTGTTATTATTATTGTGCCAAGCTCACAGGCGTCGTCTGTCTCCTCAATCCCATTCGTCACTGTTACCACCACTGGCAATACCCTCAACCCAACAGACGACCCCATTACGTCGACTATTTCCCCATCTGGGTCGACAGGTTCCGGAACTGTCATAGTCGAGGTTCCGCCTTCCAGTTCCTCCGCTGGATCTGTCTCATCGTCTTCTTCTATACCTTTTATCACTGTGACCACCACTGGTAGCACCCTCAACCCAACGGATGATCCAGTTACTTCAACTATTTCCCCTTCTGCGTCAACAGGCTCCGGAACTGTTATCGTGGAGGTTCCACCTTCAAGTTCTCCTGCGGGACCTGACTCATCTTCCACTGCCGCCTCGTTTGTTACCCGCACTGTAACTGGGGATGATGGCAATGGCGAGCCCTCTACAACTACCATTAGCCCTACCGCAAGCTCTGGTCCAGCGACCGTTATTGTCGAAGTCCCGCCTACGACCAATAGTCCGTCACCTACTTCACCCGGTGACAGCAGCTCCGGAGGTCCTGGTTCATCTGGACCCAGCAGCTCCGCTACTCAGGGACCTAGCGATAGCGCCACTCCATCTAGTAGCTCTAGTGGTACTGGACCATCATCCTCTGATGCCGGGACGTCTAGTGCCAGCCAGGTGACGACCAATGACGCTGCTTCGAGCACCTCAGCTAGTGCACCAGCAAGCAGTTCATCGGTATCATCCAACACGCAGTCTGACGCGCCATCCAGTACTGGTGCAGAGACTAGTAGCCCTACGACTTCTCCTGCCACCTCCCCTGCTGATTCTTCTTCCGCTCCAACGAGAGACGCAGACACCAGCTCCTCCGCCAACCCCGCCACCTCTAGCCCTGCTTCGTCAGCGGCTACCTCTGCCCCAGGCTCCTCCACAGAGTCCGCTCCCAGCTCATCCACCAGCGCTGCGGCCGCCAACTTTGATCCTTGCCCCGACAGTCTCTATGGAAACCCTGAGTGTTGTTCCCTCGATGTTCTTGGGGTTGCAGACGTTGAATGCGACTCACGTGAGTATATCTCTGATCCCACGGCACAAATTGTAACTAACACGATAAATAGCCACTGAGTCCCCAACTGATGCCGCCGACTTCCAAGCCATCTGCGCTGCCAGTGGTAAACGAGCACGATGCTGTGTCCTTCCTGTGGTAAGTCTTGTTCTTTGGCAGCGAAGAGCAGATGCTAACTCATTTCGCACTATAGCTTGGACAAGCTCTTGTTTGCTTGACCCCCGTTGGCGTATCGAACTAAGCTCGTCTTGGGACTTTATTTTTATTGGGGGATGAGATGATACTCTGCGGGACTGGCCTGTTGGTTTGCGAGTGGCCTTTTGGAAGCCACGCTTGGAGTGGCCACAGATCTCTCGCTACTTAATATGGTCTATGGTTTAAGGGTATCTTTTGACATATATAGCAGTTGTAATACTAAGAGCCGACATGGTTCTTCAATTCTAAATGGCTCTGAGCATTGCCATTTCCCCATCACACGTTGTGCAAGGTAACGCCTCCCATGCCATGACTCTTAGTTTCGCTGGATTTATGAGCGTTAACATTAGAACGCAGCAATGTTTTACTCAACAAATGTATAGAATTCTAGAAGTAATTATGAGGCTGTGTGCATAGGCTTCGCTGAGGACAGACGAGCTGTTACTGGGAACACGCTAAGATGTCTATTTATGTCCGGGACTGTAAGCGGCGATATTCCTTCGCGCCCTTCGCCTCATGCGCGGTCACTAGCCCCTCGCTTTTCATGACTTTTCTCATAGTAATTATTAAGCATAACTCTCTATTAAATCGTCCCGTCGGCTTCTGGTTGTGCCGTGTTTGAGGATATCTCTGCGAGACTCCACAGCGCTACAATTTGGCCCCCAGAGAAATCTCACCGATAATGGTATAAGATCTCAACTACGATGGCTGCATGTAGATTGGTCTTACGCACTAGCTGATAAATAAAATAACAGCTCTTTCGCATCGTAGACTACTTACTCTAGTTACCCGCGAGTCGCCAAACCTCACCATGCATGCTTCATATTTCTCATACACCCTTAGCAGACCCTACCCGTATGTATGGTTCACTCCAGTTGTTCTTGTTGGGGGATTGATCGCAACGGCACTTATCGCGTTTCTCAGCGTAGCGACTCAAGGCTACGAGACTATTTCCATGGCCACGGCAAATCCTAACACGACCAGCGAAAATCGTAATCCTTTCTCAGACTGGCCTTCTTTTCTCACCGCAAACACAAAGTCCCTCTGCGCCACCACGACCATTCCCATCGGCACAGAGTTCTACACTAACAACACCGCCCTCAAATATACCGTCACCAAGATCTGGCGTGGCGACAATCCAAAGGAGCCAGATACCCTTCCAGGATCATTGCCATACCTCAACAACCCTTTCCAATCATGTGCAGTAAACGGTATCACAATTGAGTTTGAGGGCATCGATCGCAGTGCCTCCCAGATAGCCCTTCAGCAATGGGGTGCTAAGCTACGAGCTTCGCTATCTTGTGAGGTAGACACATCTGGCGGCACGACGACCGTGAACATAACAACTACCTACGACGTCAACGGTATCGATAACGATGGAAGCACAGCGTTCCCAGGACGGAATGACACAGCCAAGGCGAGTCTGTGGTGGGGGGAGTCTCTTCTTGCTTGGTACTCAATCGCCTTGACTAACGACATGCACGTTGCCAACGAGAAGTTCTTCCGGGGGGAGAATGACACAGACGTCCCTCCAATCTACAAGGGTCATATCTCTTTCACGAAGAGAAAAGCTGTTGTCTCATCGGTGCAGGATATCAAAGCGCTGTACTTTTTCCAAGTCAGTTGCTTCTTTGTCCCTTTCAGCAACAATGGCGTTTCCCCCAATGTTTATTACTGCAGCCGTGAGAAAATGAAAAACACACACTTGATCGAGAAGCTCTCCAAAGCGGATGATAGCGACCAGTTGATGCCTCTCCCTGATATTTGGATCTCGGCAGATAACCTGGCTAAATCTTTTTTTTTCACGATTCTCGCCGATCTTGGGCAGACTGACTTTGGACCGAATATTCTGGATAACATTGAGCTTTTGACGCACTCCACCAAAGAGTATGAAGTTATCCGGAATCGCACACCGATCTGGGGTGATAACCTCAGAGTCAACACAACAGAAGGATTAGCTCATCACGCATTCAGCCCCAAAGACTCGTCCAGAAAGAACTTGGGAATTCAGCCCTCTGTCATCTCAACGACATTTCTTTGCTAGATCCCTCGTCTCAAAAGTAGACCAACGCTCCTTGTGTCAGTTATCATTAACACAATAGTCATCCTTTCAGCTCTCTGGAGATGATATCAATTCCTGATTGATGAAATCCTGTCAAAGAACGACCCCGAAATGATGAATTGTGCTGGATGCACTGTAGCGACATCGAAGGAGGGAGAAAACGAAGTTGTGAATTCTTCCGGACGGCAATCAAAGAGGTTCGGTCAGGCCAAAGCACGTTACTCTTCTCTACGACGAAGGGATACTCTCTAGTCTATACTAGATATTTCAGGATAATTAAGACTATCTCTCTGTAAATCTGCTTTCTCGTCCCTCGCTTACAACAGTTTCGAGTAACCCTATTATGTTCCTCCTCTTATCAGTCGCGATGCTCACGGCGATCATTCATCTCTCATTTGAAGATTACCAATCTCCAACAGTTTTGCCTGCAACGAAAGGCTTTGATGTTTCTCTAAGCAAGTCTCTCGCCCATATCAGCATATGAGGTCTGGTCATTTTTAAAAAGCCATGCGCCCTATCTGACACTTTGACTTGGCCTATTATAGACACCCATAATCTTCTCCCAGTGCAGCAGCTGTCTTCTGAACAGAATATCCTTCTCAGTTTCGTCTTGAAGAGGTGGATCCTTACAAGCCAGTACTCGGCATTGTTCGCGCTGCCTATGAACCATTCGCTGTTTACTTAAGCCATGGGCAACCATATCCAGGCCATATCCACTATCCTCAGTGCCACTAGTTACTGCAGTTACGCGAGGCCGTATGTCGAGGCACACAAGCGCGGAACCACTCTCCAAAATAACCTCCAACACAATCAACCCACTAGCAAAGAGTGTGGCGACAGTTGGTTTGATATCGACTGAGAATCCCTCACCCCCTGTATTGGAGAAGACATTATTATAAGGTCCTCTAAAAACCAATGGAGTTTCCCTCTCGGATGATAAAAGATGCATTATGATATCTTGCTCCGGCAAATTCGTGACACTTGCCAGCTCACGCACAGTTCGGCATGTGACGCGACCTTTCAGAAACTCTCTCCAAGTCCACTCGCCGACGCGAAGGCTCTTCGAAACTAGGATAATGAATCCCGCTATAATCCAAGCAAACATGGTTAGGTTAAAGGGATCAACGCCTTCTATACGTGATCCGACGAAGAAACCAGCCATAAGTCCACCAAGAACAAGTATAGCACATCCTGACATTATCGAAAGGGTATGCGTGCTCCTCCATTGCCCATTTACTGGCTGATTCCCAGATCCGATTGCGCGCTGATGCTGAGATTTGTTGTTCAACTGCCCAAATGGCTTCGAAGACGTTCTTTCGGAGGTTTCTTTCCACCTGCCTGGGTTGAGGAACTCCTGCACTGACGCCGTTTGAGTTGAGGTAATCCGATAGAGGATGGCTCCATCGTAATAATGGTCGATCTCTTGAAAAAGTGTTGTAAAGAGACACAAAAGCTGTATGTCCCTTGGATTCATCATGAATCCTTGATAGAATGTGTGATACCCGTAAGGAAGCACAAACCCTCACCATATCATCTGTTACAGATGGGTCCATACATGATGAGATGACCATTACACTAACGAGGTCAGACATGTATCTTAAGTTGAAATCTCGTTGCGATACAGAATTCCCTGTTTTGATTGATAACGTTGATATACCCATCCCTAGTCCGGGTTCCTGCCTTGTCCTCTCGTCAATCATGGCAGTAGTTTTTGACAAGAGGTCTATAGCACGGCGATATATCCCGACTGTTACACCAGATGAAGAACCAGAAATATGTCCCAGTCGATTCTGAAAGGCGATAGCGGGAAGACACCGCGCCGCTGTCGTGAAGACGACAGAAGACACTTCAAACTCGTCTGTATGTCTATTTCGAGTGTTTCGAGTGTTTAAGTCTTTGAGGATATGCCACAAAATACGGAAGAGCCAATTTGATATCGCAATCATATCAGAAGCATATGTTGCAACGTAGCGATCTTCGAGTCCACGGTCTGGATCTGGATTGCGGTCGCCATGCCTATCTACTGCCGTCACATTAAGACTAATCTCAGATGGGTTCTCGGCTGCAACAAACGGATAATCCATCAGAAGTCGCCGGACATCAGCATATTTATTCAGAGCCTCAACACCATATTCTGGCAGTTCTCTGGACAGAACCTTGAGCTTTGTTGAACATTTGACCAGTGCTGTGATGACAAAGCTGACCCAATCGGTCTCATCTGATGTGAAGCTCTGGCATAGCAGTCGAGCCACAGTCTCAGTAACGTAGTCAACGAGATGGTAGTAGTTCGGCGCTTCACTATCATCCACACCAGAAACTCCATTGCGTAATACGTACTGGTCGTCAGAGTTCATGTCGGTATGTCGCCGAGAAGTCTCCCGTTCACTTATGCCGGCGTTGCGTATGATCTCTAGTTTTGAGCCGAGTCTTGTCTCTAGCTTGTCAAAGCTTCGCAGGATTATGGACCCTCGATTCGATAACTCGGTCCGCAGCTCGGGCGCAGTCATTAAATTGTCGTCTAAGGCACACATAGATAGTGCACAGAGTAGTTGGTCGGACACCCTTTCTAGCCAAGCAAATCCCAAGTTGCTGATACTTGAGCCAAATTGGTGACTCATAGCAGAGTCTAAGGGGTGTTGAGGCTTGTCCAAGCCAGCAATAATTCGATTGACCTCTGTTTCCCAGAGGTATTTCTCATCCGGGTCAACAATGTTAATTATGTTATACATTGAAAGATCGCCGAAACGCGGCCCTTGGGCTGAATTATCGACAACCAAGTCGAACGTTTCCTGACGTACAGGAAGAGCTGTCCGCAAGAAATTGATAGTCCGTAGAGTCCTTTGTTTCAAGATCTTACGAGACTTTGAGGAAGCCTTTTCCTTTGGGCTGTTTTTGGGAGCCGCTTGTGAGGGTTCGCCTCCAGCGTTGCTGAGTTCATCTGAGTTCATGAAGGCTGAGGCAGTCATACTGTTTAGCAATTTTGATTAGAGGACGCATCAGTGAGTTTCACTACAAGTAGGGAGAAAGTGAAGTGAATAAAGATTCCCCGACAACATATCCATGAAAATATGCAAGAATCCGTTGATTGAGGGAGAGATATGTGCGGGGTAAAAGGATGGCTCAACCGACATGATTATGCAGTCAGCAACAAGCAAATTTTCAAGCCAGTTTAAACATAACATCATTGAACACCAATTAAATGACAACACGTTACTTCACAACATGCCACTTGACATCACGGCACGGCATTCATGTGGAAAGTCCAGATCTCTGTGTGGATCTTAGAAGGCGCGTCTCTTGTCTTTGAAAATTGTCGTTTTTATGATCATCATCATTGGGATTCCGCCCTTTCCAACGTATCAACACTAGGCGATTGTGCCTGGCTATGATATATTCATATGTCGGTTAAATGACTGTTGACATGGCTAATATACGCGGCCAATCAAACTTCCAGATATTCCAACAGGTCCTCAGCAAAAGCAATGAGAGACCATCAGCAGGGAAGAGAGTGGTTCACCCTGTCGCTTTAGGTGATTAGACCCCCTTCCTGGCAGGACTAGATAGATTTCTTCGGCTGATGCAAACTATTAGGGGAACTCTCGTCCATTGAAGAAGATGACACCTATTCTGATGATGTGAGGGTGATATGCGAATACACTCCCTGGCGAAACAGGGATACTCTCCCCTTCCTCCGAACCACTTTAAAATGGGACAAAGAATTACAGCGTCAGGTGAAAGTATTGGAGATTCCCAATCAAGCCTAGACGTCATGGGCAACTGTTAAAAGACTGACAATGTTGAGATTTCGGGTTCGGCAACAAAGAGAGTTTGATAAGTCGGGAGCGACAGTTGAAGACCGTCTGGTTTTCGAGAATGCTTCAGAAATCCTTCAGAGGACATTTAGGGACATGGACGACATAGACACCGTGCAAAGTCTAAGATTTGATGTCCAAGAATCCTCCGATTCATCTTCCGAAGGCAGCTATTTTAGACGAAGAACTCGACCCCGGAAGATAGTAATTAGTCATGAACACTACAGACTTGTTCTTCGAGATCGCTTGTATCGAGAAAGATGCTCGGTTGGCGTTAACGACTTCAGCCGTTAGAACTTTGGAAGCGCTAGACAAATTCATCGACCACATCTTTCCTGGGGCCTGGGGCCAGAAAGACTTTTGACGAGGCCCGGCGCGATGCCTAAATATCTTACTTCCAAGTATGGACCCTATTCAAGCCACGCAGCATCGTTTATGAGAGGCGCGAGATTTCCCCACTCGACGAGCCGTACGAGCAATGCTTCCGCGTGAGAAGGACTGAGGACTCCATTAGTCACTACGACGGCACAAATATCTTTCGGCTAGTCTTAGAAGAGATCGTTTATATGCAGGGAAGCGGAGTAAGCCCAGGCCCCAGGCTTGTTTTAACAAGTCGACACATACGAGAATATGATGGTTTGAGAGATATAACCACCATAGGTCTCGGCCTCGTGCCTCTGAGCCTCATCCCCAAGGCAGAGCAAAATACGATTTGTACAGCAATTGGACAAAGAAGCCGGGAATTCCTCCGTCTATCAGCTATTCCTTTCAGCATTTGGAACTATAAGGGCCCTGTGAGGCTGATGAATAGGATAGTAGGACGAGGTGCACTGGAAGAGGCCAAACTATCACAGAGGGAAAGGGCTTGGCAAGTATGTTTTCTCCTCACGACCTTTTCCCAAGACTAACCATACTCTCAGAGGCACACCCATGAGAATGTGGTTATAGACCTAGGATATGCTACAGATTACTTCCAGGATCGATTTTCGGGCTAGCTACACAGCCTCCACGATATTGAAGATGGCGTACAAGAAGCGACAGCGCTCCAAATAACACACACCAAGAACGGCGGCAATCCAAATTTGCAAGACGAAAATTATATTAGGCAATTTTTATTAATTTGTCGCGGCTATCTTCCAGGATACCTTGTATCCTCGAGAGTATATGCAGTCAACATCCTGGTCAGTCAGTTGACCGATCCCGTTTGGGATCAGCCACGTGGTTGGAGGCCAGAGGCCTTGCCACTTTATAACCTAGATTATTGGCATATACTTTTAAATAGCTATTTTGAAAAAGGGGGGGTATTGAAGCAACGCTTGGACGTCGTCAAACGAGAAGCGCTCAGATGGGGTGGAATCCTTCACGTAGACGAATATGGAGTTCCTAGACGCCAACCAGAGGATCAAGGTAAGCCAGAGACATTAACCTTGAGTACCGATTCCAGTTTACTAAAACAGGTTCTATATGGCTCAGAGCTGGCTAGCTATCTTTCCTTTTATCCCAGCGTTGCGCTGGTGACATGCAACGATGTGACTGAACTGGGTGTGGACTGTGAGAACGAGATCGACGGTGTTATCGCGTGCAACACATCGTCAGATGACCCGATAGCGGAACTGTGGAAATTATATCTTACTACAGAGCTGCCAGAAGTAAGTGCGTCGGTCTCCGAAGAGCGGCTCAATGATGCTTGCCGAATCTTGGCGAAACTTGAGCCCCGCGAGAGTCGCATGAGAAAGACTCTGAAGACGGCCAAAAGAATAGCCCTGGCAGAGACGAGCGCCCTTGGGTTGGGTCACGTACTTGCTGTGATTCGGTCTTCCTTGACTTCAGCCAGACTTGAGGAGGTCAAGGATATCCTGGCAACCGTTGATGAACTTGAGCCGATCGAACAGTATAATTGAGTGAGAAGCAGATAGTGTGTCGCCCTTTCTGTTAGATACCTAGTCTAAAGGAACTGTCTAAGCAGTTGACTCCTATACATGGCCTGAATCAGGAGCAGCTGATTAAGGTCTATTTCTCTTCTTCCGGGACAAAATTCGCCTTAAGCTCTTATTAAATACTATAAGCATTAAAGCCCTTAAGTTTATCTTTTTTAATAGACTGTGTCCCTATACTTTAATAAATATAAATTTTTTACTTTATAATTCTTTAATATTTTTATATTTAAACTTAAATTTTGCTATAAACATATCTTTAAAATTAAATATTTAGTTTTACTTAGCTATTAAATACTAAGTCTTACCTTAATCTCTTCTTATACTATTATTAAGTATATAAAAAGTTATAAGCTTATATACTGACTTTTTAAATATAAATATATTAGATTTAAAAATTAGATATTATTTTTTTTACTTAAAAAGGAAGTAATTTATTAAAAACTTAATTTTATTAAAAAATTAATTAAAAAGGTTTTAACTATTTTTTAAAATTTAAAAATTAGTATTTATAAAGCCTATTAGTATAATTAATAAAGACCCTATAGTAGGCTAATAGTTCTTTTTAATAATTTCTCTATAAGTAATACTATAAGAATAAATTAGTAAAAGGGCTAATAGTAGCTATAAGCTTTACTAGTAAGCTAAAGGTTTAAATTTCAGCTTTAGGCAGTAGTTTAAAGATATATAACCTTTTTATATAGTAAAGAGTTAAAAATTATAGTTTATAGGGAAATAATAAAAATTACTTTATAAAGGTTTTAAGAGGTTTAAAAGACCTATTTAAGTATCTTAACTAAGTAACTTCGTTAGTAATAGTTATAAGAAATAGTAATTAATTAATAACTTATAGCACGATCCTTAGGTACTCTTTACTAATTATATTATAAATATAAGAAGTTTTAAAGTAGCAGAAAGCTTTATTATCCTTACGCCACAATACGTCTGGGTTATTATCCTCTAAGGTATTAGTCTAAAATCTGCAATGCAGTGTAAATATAATAGAGTCAGCATCTCTGGACTGGATATAAATGCTTCCAATGTCTATCCACTCCTGAAGGCAGGGACCTTAAGGGTTATATAATGAAATAGTCCGAGGCCTAGTAGGCGTCTAGTAAGTTGTTGCTAGAGTTGGCTTGTTACGTATACCTCGAGCCATGGTGAAAGGTGGTGAAAGAGATGCTCGGTCTTGATAGCTGTGATCAGATGTAGGATAGTAGTTGTTGAAAAGTTGAGGTAGTATTCCCGTCCATTTCAGGCAGCAGCAGGATTTTTAGAGCACCCCACTTGGCTGCCTTGGATCTTCCGAGGGCTTTGGCCACTAATATTTCATTACCTCCCCTGTAAGGACCCTCAAAAGTCGACCGCCAAGCATTGATAAGATTACACAACTTGCCACAAAACTCAGCATTCTCCATCCTCAGCGCGGCGTCACCGCAGCAAATCGGCATGGCAGCCTATTCATAACTTTGAACAGATCTTTCTGAAGGAGCAGTTTGAAAGCTTAGTTGAAATTTCAATTTATTATTTAACTTCTTTTTTACTGGAGATTCAGTCAATATGTGGGGCCCAAACCTGTCCTCGTGCCAAGTGAGATCTTGTCAAGATATAGCCTCACAAAGGTTGGACGGGGTGGATTGCAATATTTACGTCGAACGTGGTATATTGGTTTTTCCGAGGTCACCCTTGAACAGGTATTTCAGAGGCCTTGAGAAGACCCCGTTCGATACAAAAGATATGACCAGAATGAGGCGTAAAAGAAATATCATATCATATGCAGCTACAACACAGAAGGTTTCACATCTCGCCAAACGACTCTCTTGATTTTGAAGACGTTGGCGGCCGTTCCAGAGATCGCATCTCCATGTCGACAGTAACATAGATCTTTCGGCTTGAAGATGCATCGTCTAACTGCTCCCACGGTCTTTCTGCCTTGGAACTGGACAAGAGACCCTTATTTCGTCGCCCGGTTGAGGACGCTGTTGCTTTGCCTGTGACTGACGATGTTCCCTGTCCTGTGAAGGGCCCAGTATTCCCCAGGGACTGGTCATGGGAAGAGTCGAAATGGACCCAGTTCTTGAGAAGCCGTCGTAAAGAGGGGAGTGAGCCGGCTATGATACCCGCCCCTGACTCAAAGACAGACCATAGCGTAATATTCCCGACGTTATCTATACTCTGAATTAAATTTAAGACTCGTTTGGCGTAAAGTAACACTCACAAACGTAATCTTGGGGATAAGCATAATACTTAATGTATGGAAGCCGTACAATAGTGGCGATTGAAGCGCTATTCAAGATGCGAGTCAGCAATGAAACAACATATCAACACTCTCGGAGTCATCTTACAGAACACCCAATCCAAGAATAATGCTGATAGAAACCTTGGTGGCTGTCTTCATCTGGGTTTTATAGAGCATAAAGCCAGGTAAGATAGCGCAGACCCAATCCGTTGCAACAGCTGCAGCTGAGACAAGGTAACTAAGACTAGTAATGACAGTCGGAGGCGAGCAAGATCCAGTAGACTTATCCCAATTTGCTTGGATAGGGCGGCACATGGTAAAAAGTCCCATAATGACAATTATCGTAGAGATACACGATGCCGCGAGTGTTATCCATACAATAACCCTGTGAGATTTCTTGACAGCAATTCGGAGAAGAGTGACGCAGATGGATGATTTGATAAAGACGAGCGAGCAGCAGTAAAATGTTTGAAACAACCATATGTGCTATTCGTCAAGGTCAGCAGCCGGCTATAGGGGTTAGAGGGTTAGTCACACCATTTTACTCTTTAGGACCAAATAATCATTTAGCCTTGCATCCCTGGCGCCGAGACCATAGTAAGTTCCTTTCGAGACCACGCCTACAACGACCATGAACAACATCTTGGACGTGTCAATTAGCTCAACTTATCATCAGCGGTCGCAAGAGGTACATATGCTTACCCATCCGATCAGCATCAGAGTATCATCTGTCCCAAATACATGGTGTTTTGCGCGGATTACGCAACGTAGAGCGATGACAATAGTGGTCGGGGGGACAAAGAAGAGAGTGACGGAAAAGAGCACGAGGCCCAGTCCTTCTGGGCGGATGGAGGTCGCATCTGCATGGGCTCTCATACTGTAACAGGATCCCTTGGCTCAGGTGCTGTACTGATCTTGGACCGTCAAAGTGGGGAATAAAGGATATAAATAGGCGATGAAGAAAATTATACCCGAGTCGGTTCGTAGCACTCTTGCCCGCATGTAGACGGACTAAACTAAATGCATGAACGCTCGGCCCCTCTCATGGTTTAGTGGAAGCCTCAACACTAATGAACTTTAAATCCCTGGATCATGGGGAAGCCCTGTTCAAGTGACAGTGCGTGCGTTCAAGGCATGAAGTTCAGGTGAAAAGAGACTGTGTGGCGTGTGAAAACAGTACAGAGGGGCAGACAGATTGTACCATTCGTTAGTCTAGGTAGTTAAACTACCTTTGTTATTTCTAACAATATCTCTAGTATAGTAGTATTTTATTTTAGAAGTTCTATATAAGTTACTAAAGTTAATACCTATATTAGTTATAGATAGTATTCTAAACTTAAAAAGTAGCCCTTTTAAAAGAGATTAATTTAAACTAAGATTTATAATTTTTTAGTTTTAATTTCTTTTAATAGCTAAAATTAAAGTCTTTAACTTATTATAAGGCTTAATTTTTTATATTTAAAACCTTTATAGCTTAATAAAGCTATATTTAACTAAAACCCTAATTTTAAATTTAATTAATTTTTTAATCTTTTAAATTTTTTTTTAAGTTTATAAGTTAGCCTTAAA